AGTATTTGGTTAATAAAGTATTATCAAGATGTCAGGAGCAATTTTTTAAAAACTAGTAAAATTTTATCCCAGGTTCCAAAAAACTTCCTAGTTAGAAATGACATAGGGGCTGGCTGGCGCTGTGGCTCACTAGGCTAATCTTCCGCCTTGCGGCGCTGGCACACCGGGTTCTAGTCCCTGTCAGGGCACCGGATTCTGTCCCGGTTGCCCCTCTTCCAGGCCAGCTCTCTGCTGTGGCCCGGGAGTGCAGTGGAGGATGGCCCAAGTGCTTGGGTCCTGCACCCGCATGGGAGACCAGGAGAAGCACCTGGCTCATGGCTTCGGATCAGCGCGATGCGCCGGCCGCAGCAGCCATTGGAGGGTGAACCAGCAGCAAAGGAAGACCTTTCTCTCTGTCTCTCTCTCTCACTGTCCACTTTTAAGATACTGGCGACCCATATTGGATTTGGTGGGTTCAGTATTTACTTCTGGCTTCTGATTTCATTTTTCTGCTAATGTGCAGCCTGGGAGGCAGCAGCAATGATGGCTCTAGTAGTTGAATCCCTGCCACCCATTTGGGAGAACTGGATTGAATTCATGGAAAATATATTTCAGGTTTTTTTCAACAAAATAAACATTTTAAGTCCATTTTCCATGAATTTTTAAACTACCATCCTCTACATGTTATGATTCATCTGTTTCATCTGCCTTAAATTGTAAACTAAGCTGAGAATGGGGCTTTCTATTAAATTGGGTCTCACCAGTACTGAGAACAGCGTTATAAGTATTTGTTTTATGATTTGATCCTTTTCTTATAATAAATAGAAGTCAGTGGTACCCATTTGGGTGCAAGAGTCACAGCAGGGATTGCCCTGTCTGGCTGTGCCCAATATCAGCCCAGAACCTATCCTAAACGCCATTTCCCTGAGAGTTGATTTTCCCACTGCCCACTCCTCTCATTTCCCACACTTTTTTGTATCTCTCTTTTTCTACTTATCATTCTTTCGCTGCTATCTCAGCTTTCCACTTGCTCATGTGAAATGTTTTCATCATGCAGTAAGAATGTATGAGGGTCAACAGTGAGCAAAGCAAAACAGTGGTGAGGGAAGAGAGAATACCAAAAGCCATGACATAGTCCATGCCCTTTACCCCTGCCCCAACCCATTTGCAATGTACAGCCAGCGTCACTGGTCACTGGGGAGATAAAGCATGCAAACAAAGCAATTATGAGGAATATGGGTATGCACAGACAATCTTGCTTCAGATTCCGAGAAGGGGAAGATCACAATAGGAAGCTGTCAAGTAGGTGGGAAAAGGTTCTCAGACAAAGCAGAACTTGCATCCTGTAGAATGGGTAGGAGGTGGCTCATTTCAAGGAATAAGGAAGAGCATTCAGTAGGAGTGGAGTTTGTATTGAGGAATCCCTAAGGGAGGATGAGTGGAGAAGTTGAACGTTGTTGAAAGTCAGGGAGATTGAAACTGGATTTTAACAAATGTCAAGGAACAGTTTGAAGTTTCACCTTCTTTTTATATTGGAATAAAAGGTTATTTTAAAGAATATTTCAAAGTCCTTGTTAAAGGCAATCAAGAGTATCAGGGGATTTTTTTGAACAGGGAAGTGGTGTAATAAAAGCAGAATATTGGTTGATGTGACCATAATATGTAGAAGGATTTGAGAAGAGTGGAAGCCTTTGGAGGGAGATCAGCAGTGCTGAGAGCAACAACTGCAACAGTCTAGGTTCAAGGCAGTAACTCTTCATCTGGGGTAAGGTTGGGATGAAGGAACCTACAGGAATGTTGCCTTAGGCCTGGCTCCCCAGAAGCGGAAGACTGGCTGGAAGGTCCACAAACTAGTGATTTATTAAGGACTCACTCCCAGTAGAAAATAGGAAGATTTTGGGAAGCACAATAGAGTAGCAACAGAGTACAGCAAGGATGAGCTTTCCGGTGAAGTCCAGGCCTTGGCCTGGGTCAGGAGGGGAGCTCCAGCTCAGGCCCAAGGCTGAGTGAAGTCCCTTCACTCAGGCATTGCTGTGGAGTGGGACAAGAATTGGAAAGAGAAAATTCCCTGCCCTGTCTGGTTCTTCGTACCTTTGAGGCAAAGCAATCTGATAAGCCAAGAGCAGTCAGCTAAAAAGAGTCTCAGGTGGAGTCATTAGAAACAAAATATGTAGAAGAGATGAGGGAACCCTTATAAGATTACAGAAGCGAGATGCTAGTTAGGGAGATAGATAGGTAGATAGATAGATAGATAGATAGGAAATAAATATGATATAAAGCACGGTTCTCTGGCTTACCATGGTTTTGAATTTTTTAGTATTTTTTGTGTTTAGATAACTTGTTTAAATAATCTAGTAGCACAAAGTAGTTCTGTAAGGTGTGGAAAATCTGCTGTAATGTAAAATATATATGTATCTGGCACAAAGCAGCCTTGTTTGGTTGACATGCCTTCTATTTCTTCTCATGTGCACTCATTCCCATGTATAAATAAGATACTCTCTTTTTCCTGAGAAATCCACCCCTATGACAAGAATTTGTTTTAAGCCAATAAATGGGAAGGACATTGTAATAAGACTGTGGAGCAGTGAGTGTTCAAACATGTAACCCCCTTTGAGATTCAAGGTTATCATTTTGAAGGGAAATCAGTCTGCAAGTTTGTGAATTTTGTCTAGGAACATTCAGTGTCATAGATGCACACACAGAGAAGGAGACAGTTGGATTTAACCAGAGTTAGAAGTTTGTCAAGTGAATTAATGGACAGAAAGAAAGGTTTAAGTAGTTAGATGTTTGCAAGTAAATGATTATAGTGATTGGACCATGGAATCCATGATAAAAAGAAAGAGAGAAAGAGAGAAAGAGGAAGGAAGGAAGGAAGGAAGGAAGGAAGGAAGGAAGGAAGGAAGGAAGGAAGGAAAAGAGAGAGAGAAAGAAAGAAAGAGAGAAAGAAAGAAAGAGAGAAAGGAAGGAAGGAAAGAAGGAAGAGAAAGTGAGAGAGAGAGAAAGGAAGGGAGGGAGGGAGGAAGGGAGGAAGGAAGAAAGAAAAAGAAAGAAAGAGTAGGATTAATGAATTGATTGGAGGTCTTTATGTGATCAAAGAATTGGTGAATTAAACATACCAGGTAAATGAGCTGAAGTTTATGAGCAGAGAGAAAGCTTGAAATTGAGACTGAAGTCGTTCAGTCCTTCCAACAAGATCAAATATGGGTTGGATGGCATAAGTGAGCTACACTGAAAGTTACTGAAGCAAAAAAGGTCAAAGAACTAAGAGACTAGGGTACTCAATAGATGATAAGAGTAGAAGTGAAATTTTTCAGTTCTTTTGCCTCTTGCTTATTCAAATAAAAACAAAAGGAAATAAAAACAAAACTAACCCTGTAAGATGTCCTGGATGGGTGAGCAGTTAACTTCTAAAGCAGCATTTATTTAACTTGGTACAAGAATTGGGCATAATGATTAGCTAAGTGACAATGGCATTTCACTTTTATTTACTACACATTTATATACACAAAGACAATGTCAAGCCTATGTGGCTCAATCAGTATTCAGTATTTCCCAGGATTGCTAATCAAAAGCTATAGAATTACTGGAGAAAAATAAAATCTATCAGAAAGTGATAGAAATGTCTATCACATTTGATTATAAATCATGGAAATAACCTGAATTGGAGTCTTTGGTCTGACCTCATCCATTTTTGTTATATTTTGTGTAATTAGTTGGTTGTATCCTACCTTGTTCCCAAAAAGATTTATTGTCATCTGTGTTCTAAATATAATAGCATATGGTCTTGGGACAGATAGTAAGGGATAGTAAGTGAAAGGGATATTCATAGAAGAGCAGGGCTTGCCTAGACATGGACTGAACAGACTGCATGTTCATTAAGTTCATGATGTACACTTTACCTTGAGTATTTATCTTGAGAATTACTTGAGTAAATTCTCTCTGCGTTTATCTTATACCTGACTCAGCAACTTTAAGAGAGGAGCCATTTGTTTTGTTTACATAACCAGAATCATGTGCTTTTCTGACATTTATTTGTTCTAGTTATATTTCTGAAAATATAATCTATTCATTTGCATAGATGTTTTATCTTATCTTCTAGTGTATCTCAGCTAGCTACCCAGCTAACCAAACTCAATGATTCATCATGAAATGACAGCAGCTTTTAGCAGAAGCTAGCAGGGCAGGTGGCTGGCGCTGCAGCTCACTAGGCTAATCCTCCGCCTGCAGCGCCGGCACTCTGGGTTCTAGTCCCGGTCGGGGCGCCAGTTCTGTCCTGGTTGCTCCTCTTCCAGTCCAGCTCTCTGCTGTGGCCTGGGAAGGCAGTGGAGGATGGCCCAAGTGCTTGGGCCCTGCACCCTCATGGGAGACCAGGAGGAAGTGCCTGGCTCCTGGCTTCATGGCGGCCACTTAGGGGGTGAACCAACGGAAGGAAGACCTTTCTCTCTGTCTCTCTCTCTCACTGTCCACTCTGCCTGTCAAAAAAAAAAAAAAAAAAAAAAGCTAGCAGGGCAGGTGATGGGGGCAGTTAAGGGAGACACATTTTTCTTGAGAGAAATTAATAAGACTGAAAGAGCCCTGCAGTAAGAGATATATGTTTTATACTAGACCACTTTCTACTCTATGCTACAGGAAATGAATTTTTAAAGTCAGTTTCCCTATTTATGAAATGTGATTATATGTACTGTTACAATAATTTGAATGAATTAGAGAAAAAAGTAAAAACAAACGTTAAAATATAGCATAATATTATTATTTAAGTCTACCAGAGTCATTTAGTAAAAATTATTGAATAGGCAAAGCAATCATTTGGGAAGTTTAATAACAGGAATTTAATTTAATTTTTGTTCTTTGGGATATTAATTTTTACAGAATGGCTATGATTATTGCTATCAGAATAGGAGGATTTCTGTACTGCTAGATTTTTAATCTGAAAGGCTAAAATGTATTGGATCAATATGTTTAGCTGAAGAAGATGAACAATTTTGGTAAATGTGTAACTCAGTGGTGACTTGGTATTTCAGGTTGGAATTGTACAATATGGAGAAAACGTAACCCATGAGTTTAACCTCAATAAGTATTCATCAACAGAAGAGGTACTTGTTGCAGCAAATAAAATAATCCAGAGAGGTGGCCGCCAGACTATGACAGCCCTTGGAATTGACACAGCAAGGTATATGGGTAAAAAATAAACCAAAGTGAAAGACTGTACAAAGTAACTGCTCACTGATTAGCCCTTTGGAGTATGGATTGAGTTTACTTTAGCAAAATTTAAAGCTTTTGTTTTTAATATTAGATACAGAAGATTAGCTAATTAGAATTTGCTGTAATATGGACTCATTCTCCCTTATCCTTTAATTAATGGAGAATCTGTTTAAAAAAAAAAACTTCTATTGTGTATTGCATCATTTTTGTACGCACTAAGACTTGATAATCATTAACATTTTCCCATTTATTCTTTGTTTTCAGCTCCTAGGATTCCGAACCTAAAAGAATTGATTAAAAATTAATCCATTTCAACATTCTGTTATGTTCATGTATTTTCAGTACTTGGTGTTGAAATATAGTAGCACTCAGATAAAAGTTTTTAATAGACAAATTAAGCATCTTCTTATTTGACATCATTTTCCATGAAGGAAAAAGTTTTATTATTTATAATGCTCTCTCCTTTTTTTCCCTTCACTTTCTCTAATTCCCTCCAGTGTATATCCCTTCCTTCCCCACTTCTGCAGTTTTTAATGGAGAACACATAACCCACCCTCTGGTTGCATTTCATTTTATAAAAACCTGCAGAGCTAAGCCGGCGCCGCGGCTCACTAGGCTAATCCTCCGCCTAGCGGCGCCAGCACACCGGGTTCTAGTCCCGGTTGGGGCGCCGGATTCTGTCCCGGTTGCCCCTCTTCCAGGCCAGCTCTCTGCTGTGGCCAGGGAGTGCAGTGGAGGATGGCCCAGGTGCTTGGGCCCTGCACCCCATGGGAGACCAGGAAAAGCACCTGGCTCCTGGCTCCTGCCATCGGATCAGCGCGGTGCGCCGGCCGTAGCGCGCCGACCACAGCGGCCATTGGAGGGTGAACCAACGGCAAAGGAAGACCTTTCTCTCTGTCTCTCTCTCTCACTGTCCACTCTGCCTGTCAAAAAAAAAAAAAAAAAAAAAAACCTGCAGAGCTGACCACTTGTACAAATCTAAAACATTTTATTTCCTGTATTTTCTCTGGTTTTGTTAAGTCCTTATCTCTTGCTGTTTCTCCCTTTTAGTTACCATGAAAGCTAGCAAGCTTCTGAACAAAAACCAAACTCCCAGAGTACAGGGAAGCTACTAAGAAGTATGGCTAATGTTAAGTACCCTTCTGTGAAGTATCTTCAACTTCTGGACTCACTTGATTTTGAAGAACTAATTACCCAGGCTCTCACTTCACCTGCCTGAGAAAATCCACGTTTTAAGGAAGTTGAAAATAGTTAACATGGATACTCTAAAGAATGGGTTGGATATTCACAAATTTAAAATCTCATACGCAGCTCTAGACTCAAAAATGTTAGAAAAACATGTGGTTCTGATTATATGGTGCCCAAGACAAAATAATCACAAACAGATGGGATAATTTTACATTTACCTGCCTGTAGGATCAAAACAATTTGCATGCACAAAGAGTGCATATGTTTATGTGGACTGAATGTGCCTTGCTCAATAACTGACTCAATGTGGCCACACATTCAAAGTAAAAGCGTTCTGTGCAGGCCCTGAGTGTGTAAGGAGCTGTGCATTTTCCTAAGGCAACTGTTTATGAATGAATATTTATCTCTGAAAACTAACTGAAGAAACATTCTGGCTGCTTTTTCTCCTGCATAAACACCACTCTACATGTGGTGTCCCTATGCAGGTTTTACCTCTCTGTTTCACACAGGGTCCAGCTTTAAGACACAGATTGAGTTTTGAACATGCACAAAAAGTCCATAGTGATACTACAGAACTACACATTTTTCTCATTCATTAGTTTTTCATGTTAAGCAGATTTTGTATTGTTTCATTTTCCTTTCAGGCATGACAAGTTACAAACAATATTAATGTTTCAAAATCTTTTACCTCTATTTGCATTGATTTGCAGTTCAAACGTTTCTGTTTCCCCTTCTCCCTGTCCCAAATCATCATTCTTGTCAATGTGCTTGCATTTTATCCTAAGGCTCAGATTATATATTATAGTATTTTACTATATATATTATAGTATTTTATCCTAAGGCCCAGATTCACCTCTCCCAAAGAGGAGAAAAAAAAACCCTCCTGGGATATTTTAATTTTCAGTAGCATGCAGGGCAGTCGATACTTAATTCCAGTGAAGGATACTGGATGGTGATATTTGGGGTCAAGAACAATTTGGTAAGAAGTATATTTGAAACAGAAAGGGTATACTTGGGAGTCCTGCCAGTGGTTACTTTTCTGTTATATAAAGCCAGCCCTGGTTTCACAGCAAACAGATTTTGTTAAGAAAGGCCTTTTAATCATCTCCTTCAGCTGATGTTCATTTGGTCATTTGTTCAATTACGACCTTGATCTTTAAGAGAATTAGGATGCTTTGGTGATCCTCTAAGGAATTAGAAATGCAAAAAGCATTGAATTTCATGTGGCATCATGTCCAAACTTCTTTTAGAGACTAGCCTTTAACATCTGTTTTCACCTCTGTTTGTGCGTATAAAGAAATCAGGGAATCTATTTGTATAGTATATTAAGGAAAATTATTCATGGTGCTTGTTAAAGATGCTCAGGAAGCACTCAGTCAAGAGGAACCACTGCAATATGAGTTTTGCAGAAATGGGGCTCAACCTGAATATAGCAAGGGCATATGGGGTTTTATAGCCAAGGGCTAGGGTGGGGATGGGTGGATAGAAAATTACACGAGAAACATTAAGGCTAGGGAGATTATTAGTATAAATAAGCGGGGTTCGTACTGAAGACAAGATGATAGTAGGAAAAACCAACATGTTTCTGTTTTTTTTCTCTGCTCTCACCACTCAGTACATCACTTCTGGCACCAGATGTGTGGGTTTTGTCCCACACTGAACTTTCTGCAGTCTCTCCAAGGTCAGAGGATTTCCAGTGTGTTCTGACAGTGTCAGAGTAGGTGAGGGGCAGTTATCTCAAACAAAAGTTTGAGAACAAAAGAAGCATGTCAAGCAAGAGAAGGGGTGTTGATAGAGAAAGGAGCGGCTGATATATGCTCCAATCACACCCTCCCTTTGAGGTTTCCAAAACCAAAAATACCACTTGCATTTTGTGTGTGGGATGTGTGGTTATTAACAAAATGATGGCTGCTCCATGATCTGGAATAAATCAGAAACCATTACAAACATACCTGTTAGGTTGAACAATGGGCATCGATGTTGGTCTTGGCAGGAAGCACCAGCTACCTAGAATTCTCAGTGCTTTAGTTTGATTTTTCTCTTTGCCTAACCTTGGAATGGTGTTTGTCAGCCTCTCTTTTGTCATTTTTTTTTCTGTGATGACTTCAGAAAGGAGGCATTCACTGAAGCCCGAGGTGCCCGAAGGGGAGTTAAGAAAGTCATGGTTATTGTCACTGATGGAGAGTCCCATGACAACCATCGACTGAAAAAGGTCATCCAAGATTGTGAAGATGAAAACATTCAGCGGTTTTCCATAGCTGTAAGTACATTGCTAGAAAAGGTTTTCCAACTCTTGCTTAAAGAGGAGAGCTGTGTGTATGTTTTAGTAATTTTCTGAAAGCAACACAAACAAGGTTGGTAAGGTGATACTTCTTTATTTAAAGGTTATTTCTGTGAGAGTAGGATTGGATCTTCCTCCCTTCTGTGTCTTCCATGCCCAGCCAGACACTCCAGAAACAATCATGGCAAAAAAATCCTGGAAGAGAGCAAGGAAAGATAAAAGGAGAAAGAGGGCATTGAGGTGCATCAGTTAAACTGCGACTTGGGTGCCTACATATCTTATCAGAGTGCCTGGGTTTGAGTCCTGGCTCTGCTTCTGCTCCAGATTCCTGGTCATGTACACTCTTGGAGGCAGCAGTGATGACTGCCACCCACAAGGGATACTGGGGTGGAATTCTGGGCTCCTGGCTTTAAGCATTTGGGAAATGAACTAGCATATGGAAGTTTCTCTCTCCCTCCCCCTCTCCCTCTCCCTCTCTTCCTCTCTCTCTCTCTCTTTCTCTCTTTCTTCACCTCTTACCTCTCTCTTGTCCTACTTTTCAAATAAATACATAAAAACTGTAAAATTATATACAATACAAAACATTTTAAACAGGAGGAATAAAAAAGCAGAAATATAAGAAAGAGGAAGGGAGGGTGAGAAAAAGAGGGACAAACATAGGGAAAGAAAAGAGAAATGGGAAAGAAATAGAAGTGGGTGGGAAGAAGGAGAAAAATTGGAGAGAAAGAGGGAGGGATACGGAATGGAAGGAGGGAAACTGAAGATATGCTAGATAATAAAAAACACTGCCTGCTAAGTGATCATTCTTTCTAAAATCAGGGAGGATGGAACCAGGACATGATTTTTATCATAATCTATGAAAAGGAAACAATGATATTCCCATACCAAACATTCTTGGTCAGTCTACCCTGGACTTATGGAGTCCTAAGTTATGCCATTTACCGGAAGCAAGAAATGCAAGAGTAGAAATGGGAAGGGGCAGCAAACACTATATTGTAGAGCCAGAAAAAACCTTTGCTTAAATTCTCTCTCTCATATAAAAAAGCACTGAAATAATGATTGTGAAATATCTAGCACCGCAGCAGGTTAGTCATGCAATAAATATTCTTTATTTGTAAGCACCCTTAACTCCAGAAGTTTGCAATCAGGAAATAATCAAAAGCATGATGTTTTATAATAAAATCATGGTGTGTTATAATAATACCATGGTGTTTTCCAGCTAGCAGAGATCTTAGAGATAAATTATGTTGCCTCCTTGCTTAGAAACCTTCGGAGTCCCCCATAGACAACAACTCAACAATGGCATCTTTCTAACCTCTTCACTCTCAGTTTCAAAGTATTTGGCCCCAGCTTGAGGGGAACAGAGCCTTTGCTCTCCTCTTGTACTAGCTGATTTGGTACTTAATTGATTTTTTTTTTTTTAAATTTCAGAGCAAACGTTTCAGAACTCTGAGAGTTCACATTAAAGTATTTTTCAACAAAGTCTCCTTTATTTATAACAAGTAGTAACCCAATATTGCCTACATTGGTTTTTCAACATTCAATCAGTACAAGTTTATTTTTTCCTTTCAAAAGCACATTGTAGGAAAGGAAGAATAAGAAAGAGTAGTCTATGGATGAAAGTGCTAGAACATGATTGATTCATTGCTTCCCAACAGTGAGGACTCGATTTATAACCCAAATAACTTCACTGTAAGCAATGAAAATGACTGAGTATTTTATTCCTGGTTATAATATGTAAAACAAAAACCTAAAATATCGCATTATTTTTCTCATTCCCCTCATTATTTCTGTAAACTAACTTTTGCTGGTTGCTTTTGAATTCAAGTTTTTCTCTCCTGATATTGTAATCTTAACTCTTTTGGTTCCTCCCATGGTTGAGAATAATTCCACACGGCCCAGCCCTCACTCAGAGAGACTATCCGATTAGCCGTGAGAATGCAAAGCCTCTCACTTGGCCCCAGAGAGTTGGATACCAGAGGTTCTGTCATTTGTTCTGTGTGCCCTCGGGTTATGATCTGGTACCCCAGAGTGAGTGGAATTAACAGCATTAGAAAAACTTAACTGAAAAGCTATCAGTGAAGGCTTCATTTCAAATGAAGCTTGTGTTTTACGTCATAACTGGCTACATATTCAATGTTTCCTGCCCTTAAGTCACATATTTTCTCTTTGTTGGATTCCTAGTGACAATTTATACTTGCTTCCCCTCTAGTCAAAAAGAGGTCTCCTGATTTCATTGGTCAATCTTCATGGAGATCTACAGGCTTCTAATGAGTGAACTATCATCAGATTGCTCTTAGTATAAATAAAAATGTATAAGAAAATTTCTCTTATCAACAGTTGTTATTTTTTCCAATTAATATTTCTTTACTCTCAATGACTCATGCATTTTTTTTTAAATTTTGTGCCAAACTAGGAAGTAAAAGTTATTTGTGCATAAACATGGAAAGGTTTCAGGGATTTCTCAAAGTCTGTTCATACTGCCCGGGATTAAATACTCCCCCGGGCGTCTGCCCATGAAATTTCCTGGACTATTTCTTCTACTCATTTTTTAAAATCTGAACACCATAGAGATGTATTTTGGCAGAGAAGCTGTTCCCAAAAAAGGATTGATACTGTAAGTGCCCAGTAATTAAACTGCAAATATTTTCTGTTGAACTTTGAAGCCTGCTGAGGGTCCTAGCTGGTTGCGAGTCCTCTATCCCATGGTGTATCTATTTCTGTCTCTTGTCTGAGAGTCTTACTTCCACATTCTTGTCTGAGATGCTGGTGGCTGTGAAATGTTTATCACCTACAGCGTTCAAATGGAAATAAGAGAAATTAGAAAGGATCCAAGAATTTTCTTTTTTTTTTCACCCAAAAGACACCATTCTACATGTAAAGGAATTGTACCTTTTACCATTTCACACATCTGCCACAAGCAAGCTTGAATTCTCACTGTATATTTAAGGTATATACATATGCCACTAAGGTATATGTGAAAACATTCACATCACAACTAATAACCTCAATCACAATGCTCCAAAAATAATTAGATTTTTATGTGTGTTTTCAACTGTGTCAGTTTATAAATGAAAAGGAGGTTTATCTGTCAGGCTAATATGACTCCAGAATATGCTCACTAGGAACCAAGGACAAGAGTTGATGAGCTCTCAATCCAGGATATCATGTAATCCATAGAACAATCTAGAAATATCCTTGGGGACTCAGGGTTTCACATGATTCAGAATTTGTATGAATATGAAGGCAACGCATCAGTCCAGAACTGTTGACACAAACGGAGCCAACAATGCCATCAGAGAGAGACACTGCAGATGGAATGTTTGCTCTGGAGCTTGGAGACCCTCTTCTGCCCTTTCCACATTTCCCAGATGTGGTGAGAAATCCTAGTGTACAAACAGCATCTGCATCACTGTTTTTAGATAAGAGGGGATTGGTTCAATGTAGTAAAAGCAGTGGTCATTGGGTTTTCTTTTTCCATCTTTAACAATTCTTGACTATCTTTTCCATTAGTTCTCTTCCCCCATGGCTTAGCTCAAGTGGGGAAATGTTCCAGCCTTCTCTCTTCAAAGGTTAATAGCTTCTGATGTTTGGCATTTGCTTTTCAGCAACGTAGACAGGAATTGAACTTTTCTTTTGTGGTGTGATTTGTAAGCTGCTGGTTTAGGGCCTTTCTGCCTTAAGTCTGGACATCCTAGTGGAGAATAAGCCCAAAATGTTCAAAGAAAGAAACATTAAAAGCACAAAAGTGACACTCAAATGCTGTGCCAATTACCTTGCAGCCAGCTCCAGGGTGGAGTTGCCTTGAAGTTCTCTGGCACGGAGATCATAGTTCCTTTGGACTACTTAGTGGTATTCTCCAGGGAGAGGGACGAAGGCCTTGCTCTAAGGAAAATGTCCAGAATAAATCCACCACCACCTTTTGTCTAGTAAGGAATGGTGAAAAACTACATTGCTTGCCTACATAAATGGTGCATGTCTCATTTTCTCGCTTTAGCATTTAGCACGCATTATAGTGATTCAGTCATTGTTCTAAACCATTATCCATTTTCTGTTGTAGATCATAAACAGCAACACATTTTAAAGAGTAATTTTAGTTCTTTTCTAACTTTCTGCAAATGAAAAGCTGTAGCCATCTTAATAAAAAATACCAGTTTTTAAAACCTGATACATTTTAAAAATCATTCTAAATCTAACTTTAAAAACTATGCAGAGAGATGGTGCGGGGGGAGGGGCTTGGGGAAACAGAGGCTCTGAGCAAATGGGGGAGTGGGCAGCCCAGGTGTTTTTTAGTTTCCAGGTACACAATGCAGAATTGTAGTGGGAAGGATGTCTGAGGTCAGGCTCCATGGAGCTCTCTATTTTCAGTGATGTCAAAAATGATTCATTATCATTGGAAAATGAAAACTGAAGGTAGAAAGTTCTAGTATCGTCGTGGTCATTGGAGATCAGGTTCTCCTCCTAATGGAGTCAAATATTCTAAATAATCAGCAATAGTCCAGTGCTTTTTGACTTCTAGAAGCACAGCATTGAATCAGTAATGATGCTTTGTTCTCATTATTCATTCTCTTCATTCTCATCACTTATCACTTGGTTTGCTTCTGTTTACCACCTTACATGTGTATTATTTTGATAATATTGTAAGTACCCACATCCAAAACAAGAGGTAGCTCTGTTCTCTGACAGCTATCCTTGACACACTCATTGCCTGTCTTCCTCCACTTGGTTAACTACTAGCTCAATTCTGCACTCATCATCCCTTGCTTTCTTAATAGAATGTTTTGACATCTATACACATCTGAAAAACTAAATTTTAAAAGTGCTTTGCTGCTTTTAACTTTTTAGAAAGGATGTTAGTTTGTATAGAGTATCATGGAATGTCATAAATGTAGTATTTATTATATTGCTGAGATTTATCTATATAGTTACCTTATAGTTTATTCAGTGTTTTTTTTTTAAACTGAGGTCACATTGACATGCAAGTAATGCAAAATTTCAACAAGAAAAATGTATACAAAGTGAAGAGTTTAGTGAGTTTTGACATTTGTAGACACCCATACAACTAACTCTCCATCAAGATACAGAGCAATGCTACCAGTCCTAGCAAGTTCCCTCAGACTTTCTTTTAATACACAATCCTCTTTTTTTTTTATCTTTTATTTAATGAATATAAATTTCCAAAGTACGACTCATGGGTTACAATGGCTTCCCCCCCATACCGTCCCTCCCACCCACAACCCTCCCCTTTCCCACTCCCTCTCCCCTTCCATTCACATCAAGATTCATTTTCGATTATCTTAATATACAGAAGATCAGCTTAGTATACCTTAAGTAAGGATTTCAACAGTTTGTTCCCACACAGAAACATAAAGTGAAAAATAATAGATGATTTTTTTTTAAATGATGATGAAATCAGATCAGACCTATTGTCATGTTTAATCCCAGTGAGAGTAGAGATGTGAAGTGATAATTTCCTTGTCTATTTATGTTGTGTATATGACAGATGATCTGTTTAGTGTACATGACGTAAAGATTTCAATCGTTTGCACCCCCATAGAAACACAAAGTGAAATATACTGTTTGAGTACTCGTTATAGCATTAAGCCTCAGTGTACAGCACATTAAGGACAGAGATCCTACATGAGGAGTAAGTGCACAGTGACTCCTGTTGTTGACTTTACAAATTGACACTCCTGTTTATGGCATCAGTAATCTCCCTATGCACCAGTCATGAGTTTCCAAGGCTATGGAAGCCCCTTGAGTTCTCCGACTCTTATCTTGTTTAGACAAGGTCATAGTCAAAGTGGAGGTTCTCTCCTCCCTTCAGAGAAAGGCACCTCCCTCTTTGAAGACCTGTTCTTTCCACTGGGATCTCACTCACAGAGATCTTTTTGCCAGAGTAATACACAATCCTCTTATGCAACCACTGATGTGACTTATGCCACCACTGCTTACTTGGGTTGTCCATTCATGAATTTCCTATGAATGAAATATCTAGTATGCACTCTTCTGTGGCTAGCCTTTCACTCAACATAATGATTATTCATGACATTTTATATGTTGGTGGTTCATTCTTTTATCATTTTAATATCAGTTGTATTAATATACAGCAATTTGTCCTCTACTATTTATAGACATTTGGATTGTTTCTAGTTGTTATTTATTAATATAAAGCTTCCATGAATACTAAAAAAGTTAAAAACCAAAGCAGTCATCTTCATATAACACAATGAGGTAAAAATTAAACTTTAATTTTTTATTAAGGAAGTGATGTTTTCATTGTGAAAAAATAACTTCCAATGATACATTTAGGCAAATATAAAGAGAAAACATTGAATCTCTTCATAAACAGAAATAAATAGAAATGTTATGGTGCAAATTCTTTCCCCCTTTCTCCTACAGAGTTATGTGGTTTAAAAATAGAATTAGGTCATGTCTACATGCAGGCTGTCTGCTTTTTAAAATTAATTAATAAAAAGAGTATGATATATGTATATGTGTGTGTTTATATGTGTATGTGTATGTGTGTGTGTTGGACTGTCCCTTCATTCAGGAAGAAAGAAAGAACTGCCCATTTAAGGCAAAACAACTGACTTGCAGATTGCTTTCCCAGCAGATGGTGATGTCACAGCTGGAATACTATCAGAGACATTCAGAATTGTAACGTTATTTTGAAATGTCAGATTTCAATAATGCAGCTGCTTGTAACAGGGCCACAGGAATGCAGGGAAAGAGATTTTCACACAAATACAAGATTTCTCTGTATATCTTATCATTATACTAAGCTTACTGTTTATATAATGGTCCATACTAGGCATCTGTATATTCTGAAAATTACTGTTTACCAAATGTGGAAATACATCCAAATTGTATTATGCATTCTCTTGTTTGCTAACAACACTTATATGCTTGAGAGCCTTATCCAACACCTAGAATTTAAAATATATTCTTGCCATTTTTGTTATATCTTACTTAGATTCTTGGCAGCTATAACCGAGGAAATTTAAGTGCTGAAAAATTTGTGGAGGAAATAAAATCAATTGCAAGTGAACCCACTGAAAAGCATTTTTTCAACGTCTCTGATGAATTGGCCCTAGTCACCATTGTTAAAGCTCTAGGAGAAAGAATATTTGCCTTAGAAGGTATGGCTGTTTTTCTTACTCCTGACTATTCTTGCTTTAATTCAGACTCAAGGTAATGGGTGTTTGATGTTTATTCCTAGCACGCTGCAAATGCATTTTCACTGTGTACAGTAGCCAGCCTGGAACAGTTCCCTTTTAGAAAAGTGTGTCATTGAAAGGGCTGTTTCACACAGCACTGTGTCTGCTGGAAGCTCTCTTTGTGAGCACATCGCAGTGCTCCCGTGAGTGGTGAGAGTGGATGAAGACAATGGTGGGGCAGACATTCAAGAACAAAAAGGTTTCCATGTGCTTTCTTCCTTTTCTATGTGCAGCTTTACACTGTGGAGACCCTAGCTCAAGTTTTTTTTTCTTTTTTCTTTTTTCATTGTTTCTGTGCTTCATTTGGCATTGCTCTGGAAGTGTTCCTACGCATTAGCTTCTTTATTCATTTATTTTCTCTGTAGTTTTACTCCTTGCCCGTTTTAAAAGTCTACATGGAGTTCTACATCAAATCCTATGGAAATGAAACTTCCATTCACTGTATTTTTCTAAATCATGTTACTTCTTTGGAGATTTCTCTTTGATTTTTCAGTGATGACTGGCTATTGATGATAAGGAGCCCTGAACTAGATCTTTCCTGGCAAAAGATCTTCAAAACTGTTATGCCATGCCAGCTGGTAAAGTCTCTTTCTTCATGTTTTTTGTTGATCCAGAGGCTCAAAGAACATCCCCTTTTCTCCAACTTGGAGAAGAAACCACCAGAGAATTGTTTTTGCCCTTTATCCTGCATTCAAGTCACATTGATTCTGGCCTTGAGAGAACAGGCTAAAAGATTGTTGTTTCCATATCTTGAAAATAAAAATGAAACAGCACCATCTCAGTCTCCCTGATGTGACTTGACAGTGGAAAACAGATGAAATGGGAATGCAAGGCTCAAAAAAAAAAAAAAAAAAAAAAAAAAAAAGGGCAATTTTGACTGAGTACCAATAGGCTAGGGAAATGCAGAAAACTGACTACCAGAATACTGAAAGGCATAGAAAATAAAGAAACTAATTTTAAAGTAATGGCTTCCAAAAATTTTTTTGAGGAGCAGGCATTGTCGCACAGTGGATTAAGCCACGTCTGGGACATCTGTATCCTATATCAGAGTGTCCATTCAAGTTTGGTTACTCCACTTCTGATCCAACTTCCTGCTAATGTACTGGGAGGTAGCGATGGTGACCCAAGTTCTTGGGTTCCTGTCACGTACATGGGAGATTTATATGAAGTTTATGGCTCTTGGCTTCAGCCTGGTACAACTCCAGCTGCTTTGGGCTTCTGGGGAGTGAACTCATGCTTGGAGGACCTCTCTTTCCCTCTCTTTCTCCTTTTTTCTCCCTCTTTTTTCTTCTTTCCTTTCCATCCTTCTTCCCTCCATCCCTGTTACTCTGCCATTCAAAGAAATAGAATATATTTTTAATGACCCATATAATCAATACATTTTGTTAAATGACCCAGGGTACACACATATTTATATATAAAAATGAAGGTTGGCCGGCGCTGTGGCTCACTAGGCTAATCCTCCGCCTTGCGGCGCCAGCACACCGGGTTCTAGTCCCGGTCGGGGCGCCGGATTCTGTCCTGGTTGCCCCTCTTCCAGGCCAGCTCTCTGCTGTGGCCCGGGAGTGCAGTGGAGGATGGCCCAAGTGCTTGGGCCCTGCACCCCATGGGAGACCAGGAGAAGCACCTGGCTCCTGCCATCGGATCAGTGTGATGCGCCAGCTGCAGTGTGACAGCCGCGGCGGCCATTGGAGGGTGGCAAAGGAAGACCTTTCTCTTTCTGTCTCTCTCTCTCTCTCACTGTCCACTCTGCCTGTCAAAAAAAAAAAAAAATGAAGGTTTTACAGAATAACTCTTACTTGCAATGTACAGTTGCGAGATTCTCATCTATTCTATTCTACTCTATTCTCTTTCAGTGAAAAAGGTGTTGGCTATACTTGACCTTGTTGATTTCATGACATGGTTGCAATCAGTGCTTAGAAAGTTTGTTTTAGAGATGATGAGGATCAACAGCCACCCAGACTGAACTGTTCTGGCTCCCTTTTGACCTGGCTCCTTATACCCTGTATCATTAGAGCACGCTGGTCGTTTATTTAAGTCACATACTTCTGAAGAAATATTCTTTAAAGTGTTAATCTACAATTGTGCATTAACCTGTAATAGAAGAGGAGACAAGTTGTAACAGGGACATGCACTGGAAAACATGCTTGAATAAACCAAAATGTAGCTAAACTTTAAAGCACTGGGCTAACACCCGGAAGATTTCAAAACAGCTGCCCTGTGTTCTGTGTACAAGTCATTTTTAGGTGCCTTTTCTCTTTCAATAGCTATTACAGTGTCATTTACCAGTAGGCAAGACCATGAGCTTGCCTGACATTATGAAAAAGTAATTATGCAATGTTAGTTTTTAATAACAAAAGTATTATAAGAGACATCAGAATAACTGTGTTCAGAGCCCAGTTCCACTGCCCCAGATTTCAGATTCCTAGTAAGGCAGACCCAGGGAGGCAGCAGTGATGGCTCTAGTAGGTGGGTTTTTATCTTTCACATGGGAGACCTGGATTGAGTTCCCAGCTCCTGCCTTCTGCGCTGCCCAGTCTCATCCATTGTGGGCATCTGGCAAGTGAACCAACAGATAGGAGCTCTGTCTGTATCTGTCCCCCTTTCTCTGTCCTTTTGCCTCTCAAATAAACAATTTTTAAAATAAATAAAAATTGCTTAGTTACATTGGATAAACACAGTACAGTGTCATTTATAAATTTTGTCTAAAGTAACTAAGTATAACCTAAGACTGGCTGAAATGAAGTCTACATCACTTGTGACAGGAAGGAGGTGCAATTTTCCTGTAATGCCTTTTCACATTGTTTCTAACCTAACTACTCTGTGGATTAAAGGTTACACACTGAAGTGCCCACACACTCCAAAAAGTCCATATCTTTCACAAGAAAATTTTTATAAGGAACTGCACATGTTAAAAATATCTTGCATGTCTTTGTTGCTGCACTATCAAGGCTAACCAAAAGTACTGTTTTGACTAGATTACTTCTTATTTTTTTAATGATGAGATCAGAAAGACTTTCTTACATGTTACTTGGGAAATCTCCATTTCCTATGACCATTATCTATAGAATGTAAATAGCTGCAATGTAACACATTATCCTAGTGCCACCTAGTGAGGTAAGCATGCCAGTCATTTGTCTAATAAAATCAGAAAGTGGTCTAAGATCCCCTTTTCCCATCAAGCATTGGGAGAAATGCAGAAATCCCTAATGGGAGGCTCTCCAGTGGTTATTATAGTTGTCTCACTTCCTACAAATGATCCAAGGAGAAGCTGATAGCAAGAAGCCTGGAGGCACACGATGGGCTGTTCCCACGATGCCAGCAGGACAGCTTCCTTCTCTGTGTTCTTAGTCAAAGGCAGAACAGTAGCAAGACAGGTGCTGGAAGTACACAGCTTTCTGCTCCTGCATTACTATTGATCTTGAAAAGATGAATGGGAAAGCACTGAGAAGCATTGTGGACTTACAATACATGCTTAAATTAAAGTGCATATCAGTTATTTAAATTAGAAGTGATTTGTACAAGAGATTAAAATGATGTCTTTGAATTCGATTGGTTGCCCCATTTAATCTATGATGTATTTGTTCACAATTTTAGGCTGGTAGATAACTGGTAAATAAGTTTAATTTCACAAATGTGATTATTCTCATGCCTCAATGAAAGAACAGGCTGACTTTGTTAAAATTATGTGCTATTTTTAACTTTATCTTCAAGGCCAAATAAATCAGTAACTCCCTATTGGAAGCAAGTAAATCAACATTCCCTCGGTTCCCTCAGGAAATTGTGGGTTTGGGTTCACGAATATTTTGAGAATAGTTTGAGAACTGCACACTTCCAAAGACTGCTCTGGATTAACTCTCTATTTCAGTAAAGAGTTTCAAAATGGGTAAAGGATCTTTAAGAAATATGCAATTAAATGGCTTGAGAACTGGAACCCTGTCAAAAAGTCCTCTCTGATCTGTGTATGATACCCAAAGCCAGCATTAGAATAAACAAAAACTAGAATCCTAAATCATCTTCAAAAATGGATTTCTGAGCGGTCCATGCCCAGAATATGGGTGGGACTGCGGAGTTGAGAAACATTATATGAATGGAAGTTTTTCAGCTCTGTAAAGCATCGAGAACATTTAGCCTACCGTTTCAGCAGGGTTTCCAGGGAGTGAGGTTGAGACAGAGGTTTCCTAGTATAGTGGGTTCTACTTTTAACCACGTGGATCCATGGTACCATGGGATGCACAGCATGCTGCTATATAAGAATGGAGATTTCCGGACTTTAGAAAGGATGGGGAAATTAATGAGCAAGAATCCAAGAGAGGACCCTTTCACTAGCCTCTGTCTTCTACTCAGCCCTACTTAGGAATTTAGGCCCAAGAAATATATGGCTGAAAATGGCCTAAGATGGTAAAAGTTCTGTTTGGCAAGACCACAGGCTCTACCAGATCGCTGTGTGTTTCCTGTGAGTCAGCAGTCCACTAAAAGTCATTGTTAGTTGTTTACATTGGTATTTTCCTATGTTATAGCTACAGCTGACCAGTCAGCAGCCTCATTTGAAATGGAAATGTCTCAAACTGGCTTCAGTGCTCATTATTCACAGGTATGTGGTTAAAAAAATGAAAAATCTTTTTGCAAGATTTTCCCACTGTAAAACCATTGCTCAGCCATAGGTTGGATTCATAGCTTGAACAATTATGCAGAACATGATGACATTTAGTAATCCAAACAGAAATGGTATTTCGCAAGCTTCTTACTAGGAAAATGTACTGTTTCAAGCATCTTACCACATTACACTAATATTTGTGAATCACACAGGTTTAACTCTGCTGTATGTTACGATGTGGTTGGCTCAATGAAATACTTAATATATTAGCTAAATATATAGGATATATCTTTTCTGTAGTGTCAGGGTATTCAAGGATCTTGCTAGAATTCCATATTCAAAGAGTTGAGTTCCTGGCAGCCAGAATAAAGCCAAAAGGCAAGATTCGAAAATATTATCATTTGTAATTGATGCAAGAAAAAGTGTCGGCCGGCGCCGCGGCTCACTAGGCTAATCCTCTGCCTAGCGGCGCCGGCACACCGGGTTCTAGTCCCGGTCGGGGCGCCGGATTCTGTCCCGGTTGCCCCTCTTCCAGGGCCAGCCCTCTGCTGTGGCCAGGGAGTGCAGTGGAGGATGGCCCAGGTGCTTGGGCCCTGCACCCCATGGGAGACCAGGAAAAGCACCTGGCTCCTGGCTCCTGCCATCGGATCAGCGCAGTGTGCCGGCCGCAGCGCGCCGGCCGCGGCGGCCATTGGAAGGTGAACCATCGGCAAAGGAAGACCTTTCTCTCTGTCTCTCTCTCTCACTGTCCACTCTGCCTGTCAAAAAAAAAAAAAAAAAAAAAAAAAAAAGAAAAATTGTCATGGTCCTTGCAAAGAAATATTGGCTTTTCAACATGCAGTTACACAGCATAAATTTGGGGAAGTTACTTACTGTGCCTCAAATTCTTTTTCTGTAAAGTGAGGATGGTAATAATGACATCCAGCCCTTAGGGTTAATATGAGGATTACAAGAGTTAATAGATGTAACACACTTTAAAAAGTACCTGTCATATTATTGCTGTATAAATGTTTGCTGTAACTATGTTTATTAAATATCATGGTTTTCTCTATTTGTTTATAAGGACTGGGTTATGCTTGGAGCAGTAGGAGCCTTTGATTGGAATGGAACAGTTGTTATGCAGAAAGCTAATAAAATGATAATCCCTGAAAATACAACGTTTAAAGTGGAGTCTACTGAAAAGAATGAACCTCTTGCTTCTTATTTAGGTAAGATTTGGATGTAATTGGTGGAAGGCTTTTTAAAGTCTTTTGATGTTTAGCATTATTTGCTTATATTTCTATAGGCTCACAGCATGTAACAAAATAATTTCAAACTGTGATGTATTTTATAGGACCACTGAGCAGCCTTAGCAGAACATGGAGGTCATTCTTAATCAGTAGGGCTATCTAATGCAAGCTATGAGCAAGGCCAGTGCTTTTGCTTTCCAAGGTCTCCCTATGTCTGGTATTCACGTTAACTGTAAGATCTGTGGAGCTGGGGTGAGAAATCAGAGTACAAACAGAACCTTCACCTTACTTATATCCTGAAGGTTTGACTCTCATATTCTCTTAAACATCCTCTCTTATTAATTCTTTATTTGGGGATGAATTTTAGAAAAGAAATTTTGAGTTGTTTTGTCATATAGCTTCTTTAATAACTCTATTCACCATCAGACAAATGTAAGTCTTCATTCCAGGGATATAGTGTCATCTTGTTGTCAAAAGCTTGCCAGGAATAAGGAGGTATGTGTCTGGTGCCACCTTACTGGGGATCCCTACTAGCCTGGGAGCCGCTAGGGGATGCCAAGGGACTCTCTCAATACTAGAGAATATCTCAGTGTACAGTTTGAAAGGCCTGGAATGGAAAGGCCCCTCAAAGTGTGGTTTCCTAACTCTTCATCACTCAATGAAATATAATTGAGTTCCCCTTTTGACCCACACAGTGTTCCTGGCACTGCGTATGCAGTAGTAAAGAAAGCAAATGCTTTGGCCTTGAAGTGTTCACATTTGGCTTGCTAGCATCCTTTCTGGGATCTTTCTGACCTGGAAGCAAGTGTCTGCCTCTCTCCAAGTTTCTTCCTATTTTCAAGGAAGACATATGGTAGCTCCATACGTCTCCTTATTCAAAGACGCTTATTAAAGCTGTAAAGGCAGCAGGACTTAAGGAGAAGAATAAGTTGTAAGATTTTAGTTAATGAAGCAGATCAATTCCTGCATTGATGGAACTTACTTTGTCAGATGAGAGACATTAATGAAACAATCTGTTATTTTAAGTGTGATGTGTCTTATGGCATAGAAAGCCTACAAAGGTAGAAAGAGGTCAGATTACATTTTTTTAAAAGATTTATTTATTTATTTGAAAGGCAGAGGCAGAGAGAGAGAGAGCTCTTCCATCTGCCGTTTCACTCCCCAAAAGGCCACAATGGCCGGAGCTGGGCCAATCTGAAGCCAGGAGCCAGGGGTTTCTTCCGGGTCTCCCACGTGGATGCAGGGGCTCAAGGACTTGGGCCATCTTTCTGCTGCCTTTCCAGGTGCATTAGCAAGTGCCTTTAGCACCTGCCTTTCCAGGTGGATCACAGTGGGGCAGCCAGGACTCGAATCGGTGCCCATATAGGATGCCAGCATGGCAGGTGGCGGCTTAACCCACTGTGCCACAGCGCTGGGCCCTAGATTATCTTCCTAGAGGTCTTCATGCTTTACGATTCTATGACACTATTTCATGTGAATACTGTGGAATTAAGAAACAGTTTAACCTGAGCCTTCTTTCTATCCTATAAATAATAATTATAGAATATTTACCCTCATGCTGAGGATCATCTTAAAAACTCATGAAAAAAGTGTGTGTTTCTTTTAATCCTGTTTTTCCATTAACTTTTGAAAGTATATAATGGATGGCATGTGAATTAGTATAGCTCCTCATGAAAGGCATTTGACAATGTGTTTATAGAGCCCTGTTCGCACATTGATCCATATATTTTACTTCCTAAAGAAAAAATTTCCAATATATAGCACTTCCATAGCAGCAGTGATTTTCATTGTATTGGAGGAAATGGTATCATTCTAAATGTCCAGAAATACAGGGACATTTGGGGCCGCTGTTTGGCACAGTGGTTAAGTTGCTGCTTGGAATGCTGTATCCCTATCAGATCCCCTGAATTCAAATCCCAGCATCACTAGCCAAGCCCCAGCTGTTTGGACAGTGAACCAACAGTGAACATTTGGACAGTGAACTAGCAGATGAAAGAGCTCTGTCTGCTTCTGCCTTTCAAATAAGCAAATTTTTTTTTAAAAAAAAGTACTAATGGCTAAGTAAGTGGTAGATACACTTAAGAGAACATTACACATCCATAAAAATAAAAACTAAAAAGCTTCTGATCCTGTGATACCAAAGACTTGAAGTGATTATGACACCAGCTATGCAGGTAGGGATGGCTCTGAGATCATGAAGACGGATGGGTTTGTTTTTCTGACTGTGTCCCTGACTGTGTCTTTAAGTAAATCACATCACAAAGATTCAATTTGCTCATTTCTAAAAGAAAAATAATTATATTGCATATACCATTATAAAGTTAAAAGAAAAATAAGAAGGAATGAGGGTAGGAGGAAGGAAGGGATGGAGATAGGGAAGGAAGGGTGGGAAGTATTATTATGCTCTTAAAACTGTGTATATAAAATACATGAAATTTGTTCTCTTTTTATAAATACTTTTTTAAATTAAATAATGACTCTAAGGTGATTAGTACTGTGCTTGACAGATAGTTCACACACAATAGATGCTGCTTATTATTGCATTATTATGGAATGTTATATAATAAACATTCCTCTTATTAGTATTAAGAAAGACAGAATAAGGACCTACAAAGATGTCCATATCCTAATTCCTGGAACCATGAATATTTTACATTCCATGGTAAAAGGAGCTTGCAGATGTGATTAAGGAAATGATCTTGTTCTGGGAAGGTGACCCTGGGATCTCTGCCAGGACGCTATGTGATCAAGCCTCCTTATGATTAGGGACCTCTCCTGGATGCAGAGAGAGAAAGAGAACTTTAGAAACTAAAGATGCTAAGAGATACAAGGTTGTTTTAAAGAAGGTGCCAGGGACAAGTCAAGGAAGGTAGGTGGTGCCTAGAAGCTACGAAGGGCAAAGAAATGATGTCTCCTCCATAGCCTCTAGTAAGGAACATGGTCTGGCCAGCATTGTGATGTTAGCTCAAGGAAACCTGACTTGTAAGTTAATAAACTTGCAATATTTTAAGCCACCAGGTTGGTTTTGTGATAACAGTCTTAGGAAGCTAATACAGGTGTATTACACATAATAATAATAAGAACTCATATTACTGCTGCTAATGAGTATTGAGAATGCGTAATTTTAGAAACATTCACATCTGGAAACTTGTATGTAACATGGTCTCCATTCTTAGGAAATTCACACATTGTAATAAATAATATTGCACCATTTCTTGGTACTCTGAGTTATCTTAAATTATTAAATTCATTAAAAGCAAGTGAATTCTTAGACACCAAATCAGTTATTTTCAAAAAAAAAAAAAAAAACTTCAGTTAATTGTTGCTTGGATCAGACTTAGGGAATTCAAGATTTTAAAATATCATTGTGGGCCAGCGCCACGGCTCACTAGGCTAATCCTCCGCCTGTGGCGCCGGCACACCGGGTTCTAGTCCCGGTCAGGGCGCCGGATTCTGTCCCGGTTGCCCCTCTTCCAGGCCAGCTCTCTGCTGTGGCCAGGGAGTGCAGTGGAGGATGGCCCAAGTGCTTGGGCCCTGCACTCCCATGGGAGACCAGGAGAAGCACCTGGCTCCTGGCTTCGGATCAGCGCAGTGCGCCGGCTGCACCGCGCTGGCCGCAGCGGCCATTGGAGGGTGAACCAACGGGCAAAAGGAAGACGTTTCTCTCTGTCTCTCTCACTGTCCACTCTGTCTGTCAAAATAAATAAATAAATAAAAATATCATTGTGAGGAAGAAAAAGAACCTTCCTTCCTAACCACAGCATTTATAATCTCTGACTCCTCTCTATCCAGAAAAGGAAATTTTGAGGTATGTTATCTGCAGTGTGCTGAGAAAATATTTCTGTTTCAGAAATCATTTCATCATCTTAGTCACAACTTAGAGATTAAAACATTTTGCCAACATAATGTCTCATATAAGTAAAATTTCTTTCAAAATAGAATAACATATGAAAAACATGAGGGGGATAGCCTGTTTTTCTCTTAGTTTCCCAAATATTATTCTAAAACTGAAATGAGGCTTTCAAAGTTGTTTCCTGGTAGACATTACAAATTAAGAGAGTTGAATGCGATGTCCTGAAATTTGTGTGGATTGTAAATTACATGACAATGGAGAATCTTATGAAGAAAACAAAGAGGAAGATGCTCTGTTTTTAAAATCTTGTACTAATCAATAATGATCAGGAAGAAAGAAAAGCTGAAGCCTTTGAATATCTCTCTCAGCGCATGGTCATGCATCCATCTTTCTACAAGCAGTAAATTATGGGATGCCAGTATGCACTTCACCAGCGAGTCTGATGGAGAGAACCCAGTGGAGATTGTGCTCTGTGCCTCTGCCACCCGCAGTTTGCTGGTTTGTGATCTTGCTGGACAGATTGCAAAGGAAAAGCAAACATGCAATGCAGAGGCAGGGAATCAAGACAGATCACACACGTTTCCCATGACCTCACCATCTTCTCATACTTTCTCCAAGAAGCAAATCACAAGAGCTGATAGGATTGTTCAGAAATCCATGCAAAGGGCTCTGCCATTCCTTTTGCTTTCATCTCCACCTTGTACTTTTCTATTCAAGAACCAATATTAGTTTCATGTTTATAACTATTTTCCTTTCATTAAAATTGGACTTTATTTGGCTATAATTGTCGCTCTCTCTTTATTGTCTGTAAACACCCAAGCCAGGGAGGGTGTTTTGTGCAATGGTTAAAATGTTCCTTGGGATGGCCACATCCCATATTGGAGGGCCTGGGTTCAAGTCCCAGTTCCATTCTGATTCCAGCATTCCTGTAAATGAACATCCTGGGAAGCATCGGGTGATGGCTCAAATAATTGGGTGCCTCTCTCACATATGTGAGAGACCCAGATTGAGTTCCAGGCTCCTAGGTTCACCTGACCCAGTCCCAGCTGTTTTCAGGCATTTGGGAAATGAACCAGTAAATGAAATCTCCATCTCCCTCTCCCTCTCCCCCTCTCCCTCTCCCTCTTCCCCTCTCCCCTCTCCCCTCTCCCCACTCCCCTCTCCCCGTCTCCCTCTCTCTTTCCCCCTCTCTCCCTCTCCCCCTCTCCCCCTCTCCCCCTCTCCCTCTCTCCCCCTCTCCCTCTCCCTAAGCGAAAAACAAAAACAGCAAAAAACCACTGAACCTCTAATGAGTAACTCTTTCTGGAAATCATGTGATGATTCTAGATAATATTCCAATGCAGATAATTAAAATGAATTAAATAATCACACAACTCCATGCCTAAATATTTTGAATGTATTGTTTAAAAGAGTGTTAATTTACATTCACAAATCTGATAACTTCAAAAACCAGAATAACTTGTGCATACTAACACTCTCATCCTGTTCCTTTCATTATTTCTCAACAGAGTGGCCTGAAATAAAACAGCTTTTGTTTTTGCACATTCTTCTTTTCCACTTTCTGCATGTGTAAACATGACCCAAAAGTTTTTCTTTTTTAAGCCATATTGTGGTTGATAATATAAAAATAGAACACATTACATGTTTGAGAAAGAATATTTTACATTCCCTTATCTATAAAAATGTTAAAGGAGAATGAAGAAATGAGAATGTGAGGAAACTATAAGTGTAATTTGCCTAAGAAATTGTGTTTCTTTAACACTTAAAAGAATAAGCATGTTTTTCTATAAAAACTTATGTTCCTTTTTAAAAATTTTGAAGGAAAATGGAACTATTACCTTATAGTAAAATAACCAGTAAATGAGTGAAAAGTCTGATCTTTGTCTCAGTAAGAAATGCTGTTCTATGGCATTTCAAAAAATAATTTCCCTTCTGCTCCATTGATGAACAGCTCTGGATATTAGGATATTTCTTCTTCTTGTAGAGTTAAAATCTGCTGTGGTAATTTTCATCCACTGATTTAAGTCTATTCTTAAGGATGAAAAAAATAAATCTAATTCTTCACTCAATAATAATAATCTGCCTTATAGACACAATTAAAGCTCTTCCCATAATTGGCCAGACGTGATCTCCAAAAGTGCTTAGTTGATCAGTCAAACCAGAAAAACGCACAAAACCATGCAGATCAACAAGTTCAAATCTTACGTTACGAACATCCATGAAGCTACTCAGGGTATCAAGGGTAATGTGTAGCCAAAAATCCACCAAGTACCTGAAAGGTGACTTTATGAAAGCAATGTGTGCCATTCTGTTCTTAGAATGGTACAGTTGGCAGGTGTCCCCAAGGCTAACCAGTGGGGACTTGGACAAGGGCTTGATGACCCAAGAGGAATGCTGGAATTTTGCTGCAGAGACTAATGCCAAATGCACAAGTTCATTTGTAGAGTCTCTCCTCATTGAGAACACGCAGGTGAAGAAGGTGCCCAAGCAGCACACATACGGAGCTCATAGTTCTGTTAACCCACATGTCAGCTCTGCTTGCCACATTGACGCAATCCTCACTGAAACAGCACAAATCAGTCCTCAACCAGAAGAGATTGCACAGAAGAAAAAGATATCCCCAAAGAAACCGGAGAAAGAAAAACTTAAGACCCAGTAATAAACCCAACATAAAAATCCATGCAAAAGAAGAGTAAAATCAGGTCGAGGGTGATAAATTTTAAAGAGCATGAAAGCTTGTTTACAAAGAGCAAGGATTAGACATGAAAACTATTATTAGATATGAAAACTGTTTGGAGCTACTACTAACCAAATGAAAATCACTACAATGTACAGATGTTAGATAATGTTTAACTCCTGTTAAAAACAACCACAGGTTTAAATAATCGTAATAATGCACCATTCCTGGGAGAGTTGGTGAAGTTAGTCCTCTCTCACATAGCTGTCCATAGAATAAATTAGTACAAATGTTTTGGAAATAATTTGCTGAACATTGTAAGAACCATTAAAAACTTAGTCTGGTAACTGATTCCTTGAAATTTACTGTCAAAAAATGCGGAAGAAAAACATTAAATGCACAAGGTTGCTATGCAGGTTTAATTATACTAAAAAATCCTTAAGAAACACCTAAATTACAGTATTTCACCAGTGTCTCTCCCCGTCTTCGTGGAGGAACGACACAGGACCCTGCGTTGTTCTTTCGTCTGCTCGGCCCTTCCCGGGTTTGCTGCTGGTTCTTCCCGGGTTGGCTACCGTCCCTTCCACCTTCGTGGAAGGGCGGTTCCCCCTGCCGCTTTCCCCACTTCTGCGGGGGAGCGGCACACCGCCGGCCGGCTCTCTCGGGGGCTGCACAGGTGTTCCCTCAGATGTTCCTTCAGATAGATGTTCCTGGTGCATATTGTCTCTCTCCTCCTTTATAGTCCTCTTCCACCAATCCCAACTCTGCTACCCACACGCCGAGTACGCTGCTCTCCTCCAATCAGGAGCAGGTCCTGCTGTTTATTGGTTGAACTGGAGGCAGCTATGTAGAAGCTGTTTCCTCCTCTCCCAGCGCCATATTGTGGGAGAGCAGATGCATAGAATAAGTCTTAATTCCAGTAACTTAGTCTAGTCTGAGTTGCTCCCCACACACCAGGGAATGGTTTGTTGTACAAATGCAATACTTTTGTGCTTTCACTCAGAGAAATAATCTTCAACAATTTAAAATTACAATTTTAAAACCTAGTAACACAGAAAAGGATAACATATTCTGTGATCCTAGCTCTATAAAATTATTAATTTCCATAGCATAGATACACATCTAGGTGAAATACACTTGACTTATTGCAAAGTGGTAAATTGGGATTGTGGGGGATTTTTGTGCATTTTCATTTTCTTTGATTGCTGTTATACCATTTGTGTCTTTGAACAGTGAAAAACTGAAGTTAGAGAGAACACCCTTTCAGAACAAAGCAGTTGTGGTGGATTATCAAAGGAGACATTAAAAGCTTCTACCAAAACAAATTCTTTTTTGTGTTAAAAAACTATTCACAAAAATTCATATAAAAAGTGGTTCCCCAATCATTTAAAATGATTCTTAATTTATGACATGCAGACTTGAAGGTGCCAGGTAGTATATCTGGTATATCTTTTGTTAGGTTATACAGTGAACTCTGCCACTGTACCTGGAGACGTGCTTTATATTGCTGGACAGCCTCGGTACAACCATACAGGCCAGGTTGTCATTTACAGGATGGAAGGTGCTGACATCAAGATTCTCCAGACACTCAGAGGAGAACAGGTAAACTTGAAAAATGCTGTTTTAAATTAATCTCTTCATACTGTATGTATATTAATTGTCTACTATTGCAATCTTTTTAAAAAGCGGTTCAATATCAACTGTGAACAAAGCTCCAAATCAGGTTATTTGAATGGATATAGAGTATCTGCATCTTTGACATCATAAACCTTTCACTTCGGTAAGGTAAAGTTTACATAAGAAAAGACCTAAGGAAGGAAGGTCTAAAACATTAAAAAGCATAAAAGTGTCAGTGGCACAGACAGTATATTCTCAAGGTAGAAAGATTGTTCTAAGCTAGGATTGGTTAGTGCAGGATGTCTTTTTTTTTTTTTTTTTTTTTTTTTTTTTTTTTTTTGACAGGCAGAGTGGACAGTGAGAGAGAGAGACAGAGAGAGAAAGGTCTTCCTTTGCCATTGGTTCACCCTCCAATGGCCACCGCTGCAGCCGGCACACCGCGCTGATCCGATGGCAGGAGCCAGGATCCAGGTGCTTTTCCTGGTCTCCCATGGGGTGCAGGGCCCAAGCACCTGGGCCATCCTCCACTGCACTCCCTGGCCACAGCAGAGAGCTGGCCTGGAAGAGGGGCAACCGGGACAGAATCCGGCGCCCCGACCGGGACTAGAACCCGGTGTGCCGGAGCCGCAAGGTGGAGGATTAGCCTATTGAGCCACGGCGCCTGCTAGTGCAGGAAGTCTTAATACAACCTAAACGCCGTGTCTCTATCAGAGATTATTGTTACTACCATTAATGTTACTTAGCAATACAGTTGAACCAACCCTTTGCTCACCAGATTCCTAGAAGGACAGTTAGAGTAACCAAAGGCCAGATTCTCATATGCTAGGTAAAAAGGCCTTATTATCTCTTTGTTCACATTAACACTTGGAAAAGTTATCAACAACAAAAGCAAGGCTAATGCTGTAGATCAGGGATGAGGAAAGGAAACCTAAAAATGACATGCCAACAATACAGAGAAGGAAGTGACAGGACGAAACAAGGAGGAACTGACAAGAGTAAAATGAAGCATTTTCAGTGACATCTTGGGTGTAGTATCACTCTTTTAATTGTCTCCGAGACAGGAAATGTAAAATTTTGAGAAATTGCTCAGGAAAGTTGAGGAAGAATGTCTTGAATGATTTTAATCATTAACGATTTCCATTAAAAGCTTGGGGATCTGAGGGAAAAGTGCTTCATTGATTACAGCATCAACAGCTCAAGTAGTTGAGGTAGTTTTTAAAATGGGATTTAGTTTTTAGAAGCTTTTCCTATAACAGGAAGCGCAAGTTCAAATGCTTGCAGGTGCCAGGTGGGTGAAGAAAGCTGCCTGGCACAAGGCCCTAGGAAGTGGCAGGAACGATGGCCCTAGGCAGCTGGAGGGCTCCCACTCAGCTCCAGACCGCCATCGCCACGTGGGAACCTAAGCCGAGTGTAGCCAGGGGTTACCCTTTAATTATGTTTGTAGGTAATTCATCTTCTTAAAAAACCCTTTAAACCCTCCGAATTCTGTGGGAAACGTGCATTCACAAGTCATCAAAACTATGTCCAAAAGTTCATCTCGCCCTGTCTAGATGCTTAGGCAGGATCTATTGAAGGAGAACCGGAGACTTGAGCAGGAGAACAGAATGAAATTTGCAATATGCAGTAGTTAAAAGATTTGGGAAAGGTTTGGCCATCTAGGGTAAGAGAATGCAAAGAAAATTACCTGTCTGAGCTGCAGAAAAAGCCCAGGGGATGGGAAGAGAGAAGGAAGCTAGCAAAAATGCAAAACAAAGGATTGTGATAAAAAGGCAGAATGAGGAGAGCAAAATTAAATCATATAGGCCAATTCCAGAAGTTTCAGTGTTTGAATTATTCAGAGCATCACGCGTTAAACATAAGTCAGTATTTGAAAAGCTTTTTCTAAGCATTTGGATAATGAAGTATACATTCCCTGCTTTTTCCTGGAACAGATTCCTATGTTTAAAGAAAGAGAAGATACGTTGCAGCAAGGCAATGGTGCCCCCTGCAAGCCTTCCCTATTTTTCTCTTTTCAGCGGCTGTTGGGAAAAGACTTAGCATTTTGTTAAGTAGTAGACAATCTTCTAAGACCAACCAATATTCCAGGACAGTTCAACTCCATATAATGTGCTTGTTTCATATTTTCATAGCCCTGTGTTTAAACATATGTGAAGCCATTCCAGATTGCCTTCTACTCTTTATCTTGTTTTATCCTTAAAATGTTACTGGAATATTACTGAGCTGTGTTGTTGAGAAGGAACAGTTAGGGTGAAATCTAAAGGGGATCATTTTTGCTACTCTCGAGCTACAAAATTTTTAACAGCAGCTGACCCTCAAGGGTGAACTGACTGGTATTCTGTAGCTTAAAGAACTGTCAGGTAACATCAGTTTCTGTATTCATTTCTTTTACCAACTAAATCTCAGCGCTATTCCAGATTGATAGACCTAAGAGTAATTCTTGAGAATTTCTGATGTTCATTGGACTTTTTGTTTTGTTTTGTGCCCCAGATTGGTTCCTATTTTGGCAGTGTCTTAACAACAATTGACATTGATAAAGATTCCAATACTGACCTTCTTCTAGTCGGGGCCCCCATGTACATGGGAACAGAGAAGGAAGAACAAGGAAAAGTGTATGTGTATGCTATCAATCAGGTAATGGTATCTGAGTTGGGCAAAAATCCAGGAAAATCTCTTCTATTCCTTCATTTTTGAATAATGTGGTTCTAACTTTTCACTTGCTTTGAAATAATCAGTAAAGCTTCCAGGTCCTATATACCCCAAATGCAAACCACAGTAGGACTGGACTAGCCTAAGCCAGGAGCTGGGAACTGCATCCAGGTCTCCCACACAGGCGTCAGGAACCCACTTAGCACTGTTTCCCAGGGTCTGCACTGGCAAAAAGCTGGAATCAGGAGATGGAATCAGAATCAGGAATCAAACCCAGGCATTCGGTTGTGGGACGCAGGCATCTGATTTGTTAAAGTAACACCCACTCACAGAAAGTTATGGTTTTGAACAGAATGAATTTTCTCCATGTTCTTGGGACAGTCAGGGGATGGGGTAATAGAGAGAAATTTATCAAATAAACCAAATATGGGATGAATTGAGAATTTAAAAGTTCAGTAATTTGGTTTAAAAAAATGCAGAAAATGACACTCTCAATTGCATTAAAAGGAGACTCACAAATCCTCAATATGTCTTCTTTCTGATGCTTCTGCAAGCTTTTCTTTGGAATTCCTAACACTGCTGTCAGACACACATTTTAACACATTTTATAAACTTTTCCATTAATGTACAAATGTTTTTTTAATGGCACTGCTTTAGTATGTATTTTTTTAAAAAAAAAACTACTTTGCTATAGTAATGATAGAAATCCATAATATCCTGTTTATCTTTCTTCCAGACGAGGTTTGAATATCAAATGAGCCTGGAACCTATTAAGCAGACTTGCTGCTCATCTCTGAAGCACAATTCATGCACAAAAGAAAACAAAAATGAGCCTTGTGGGGCTCGCTTTGGAACTGCTATTGCTGCTGTAAAAGACCTCAATCTTGATGGATTTAATGATGTCGTGATAGGAGCTCCACTGGAAGATGATCACGGGGGCGCTGTGTACATTTATCATGGAAGTGGGCAGACTATCAGGAAAGAGTACGCACAAGTAAGACTGTACACTATGGGTCCTTGCCCTTCAGTGATAGAGGGTTCAGTGCCGGGCATTTCCTGACTGACTGTATGAATTCTTTACTTTCTTTCTTTCTGACTCTACTGAATAACTAGGTTTAATTCTCCTGTAAGTGTTCTCTATGAGAAATTACCTTATTTTTTATACTTTTATCTAGTTTCTTTTCTGTTGTTCTTTGGTATGGCTCTAGAATCTAAACTTTTGATGTGGTAAAAAAAAAAAAAGCAAATATAATGAGACTATTCAACTTCTGCTATCTAAACAGGGAGGTACTATTTTCTGAATGGGAGAACAGTAATTATATGATTTAGCCAACAAAGGAGATGAGATTATTGTTTTTATATTCAGTGTATGTGTTGTTACAATAAAATTGCATTGAATTTATATTTATGAATTAAATTTGTATATTTGCATCAAATGAATTTGTTTCTGAAGTTTTATAATTTGCTCACTAGTAATTCATCTTGGAAAAAAATTTGAATAATTAAGTTTAACCTGCAGGGGACCTCTGTTGTTCTTGTTTTATATTTTATTGTCAGCTAACAGCTCTAATCCACAACTAACTTTTTCCTAAACCAGAAAAACATCAGTTTCCAGAAGTGCTTAATCCACCATAAAAGCAGAAGAGTTTCAATATGTAATTCTCTATTTTTAAGTAGTCATACTTGGCTAGGCATTGAACTTATAATAGAATTCACTATTTTCTAGCTTATATAATATGAAAGAAAAAAATTAATTATTACTTTTTTACATTTATATGTTCTCCTTGATTCTGGTCAACAAAGTTCTCAAAAGCTATTTATGTTTTGCAAAGTTGTGCTTAATTTTTCATAAAGTCATTATGACATTAATAGGAAGCAAAATAAAGGGGTTTATTTCAGTAACACCACATCTATCCATTTGATAAATGATTTGTTTCTTTTAAAAATCTTCATGCTAGTATTTACTTAACTAGAAACAGTCAGTACTAACCAGTGGGGCATGATGGAATCAGGAAATGCAGAAAGAATTTCTTTCTTGTGTTCTACCACTTTATTCCTTTAGTATTAATCCTGCAAGTTCAATGGAATGGCATTTTAAGTTAAAAAAGAAAGATATTTAGTCATTTATACATGGAATACTGGATAGTTACAAGCATTTTTTCTTTTTTGCAAAGTGGTGCTAAATCAAGACACAGCTTTAGACAACAATAACAAAAGAGAATGTTAGAGTTAAATTTGTTTAATTATGGGCAATATGCTTTCCCAAGGATTGGTGAGGGTGTGCTGACTTGTTTCCATGGGTACATAGGTACTCCATATGTATGGGATGATCCAAAATCAAACTGAATCATCAGAACCAGTGAGGCAAATATCTCCTGATGTGGTTGCTGAAAAAATACATGGAAATATTTCCCAATGAGACATGTACATTTAAACATGAAAAAATGTTTTGCTTTGATATGTCTTATTTAGCGCCTTATTTTGTTCTTCAAGTTAAAAAAGGGAAAGATCTCAAGTTTAGAGAGGATCTGTCAGTTTTGCCTCCTTATCACTGGGTTCCATTAAAACAGTTTCAGCTTGAACCAGTGCTAAGTCGAGAAGTGCACTGTCAAATATATTACGGGTAGTGACATGTGCAGATCAGACTTCCAGAACTCCACATTCACTTGTGTCTTTTTAACATTGTACACACCTGTGAGTGGAGTTAAGTCTATTGGAATGTTGACTTGTGGAACAATTTTTGACAGATAATTAAAGAAGATTACAAGTTGAAAAAAAAATGTATGTGATGGAATGTGTTCCTTATACTCAGCTACAAAGCTTAGTGATCTCCAAACTGACAATCTTCCACTCCCCAACTTACTTAATATGTTTTCAAGATTTCCTCTACCTTTAAATATCTCTGTGTGGTAGGATTCAACAGGAAGTAGAAAACAGAGCCAATTCTCATGTTTCTATTAAGGATTAGATGAGATGACGTTATATAATTTCCCTCCTTCTCTGGTGTCAGTAACCCTGAAATCATTTTGTCTGTAGTATAAAAAGAACAATATCCATCGGGAATATCTTAAGTATTTCCTCTGACTCCATATGAGGAGTGTCTTGGGCAGGTTCCCAAAAGATCTTTTTTTGTTAAATAATCTAAATTCTCAGATTTATTTCAAACTGTTTTGAACAATCCCTTCTTACGTCCAACTCTTGATTGGGGTTTTCACAGCGTATTCCATCAGGTGGAGATGGCGAGACACTGAAGTTTTTTGGCCAGTCTATCCATGGGGAAATGGATTTGAATGGGGACGGTCTGACTGATGTGACCATCGGGGGCCTTGGTGGTGCTGCCCTCTTCTGGTATGTATTTTAAAAACATTCAGGTAATCAGATAACCGGAGTTATTTCTCACCAGAGCTTGGACTATGATTGGCGCTCTTGTCATACCACATATCTACTTCCTCATTCTGCTTCACTATGCAGACAAAAGCTATTCATTTGAGTAAACTAAGAAAGTCGATACATCTTAAGAAAAAGGAAGCCACATTTAAGGAACAAGTAGAATAAACTCTTAATTGAGTGTTATTATGTGCTTGACACTAAAATAAGAACTATGTGTTAAGGAAGGTGTAGAGGAGAAGGTATTGTAAGTGATGTGTATAAACAAGGAGATATCTCTAACTCTGAGTCACAAGTGCCTCTTCATTCATATCCCTAATGCTTACAGAGACACTTGTGCAGCATTGTCTGACTGCTGGTCAGGAAGAAACATCTTCAGGAGTATCTGCTCAGCCTTTAAAATGCCTTCACCCCCAAATTGCCTGAAATCTCACAGTTAATTTGAAAAATCAAGCCAATGACCAAATATATACATTGATAATATTTTATTTGTTCAATAATTTATTAATAAAATATCTTATTAATCAATAACATTAATGACAATAGCTTTAACCAATTAAAATCTAATTTGAAAAAATGATTCTATTTAAAAAATACTTAAAATGCAAGAATCAACTTAATTTGCAGGATAATTTAAAAAATGTTACAAAAGTCAATAAGAAATATATAAAAAGAGGGGTCAGCAATGTGACATACTGGGTAAAGCACCACCTGCAGGGCTGGCATCCCATGTCAGCACCAGTTCAAGTCCTGGCTGTTCCACTTCTGATGCAGCTCCCTGCTAATGCACCTAGAAAAGCAATGGAAGATGGCCCAAGTGCTTGTGCCCTTGCACCCACATGGGAGACCTGGATGAAGCTCCTGGCTTCTTGCTTCCATTCAGCCCAGCTCCCACTGTTGCAGCCATTTGGGGAGTAAATCAGCAGATGGGAGATCTCTCTCTCTCTCTCTCGCTCTCTGTCTCTCTATCACTCTACCTTTCTCCCTCTTTGTCTGTGACTCTGCCATTCGAATAAAAAAAAAGAAACATGTAAAAAGATTTGAGAACTAAAGTGTATAAATTATGTGCCTTGATGGGAAATACACATTTTGATTCTTCCAAGAATTACATTCTTTGGTTTCATGTAATTCAAATATATTTTAAAAGCCTCAATGGTCCCCCCCTTTTTTTTTCAAAAATTTATCCAGAAGGGTTAAAAAGTGGAAGATAGAGAAGTAAAAATAGATGACTTTGTTATCATTTAAGGTAATGCTCAAGAACTAGTGGTCACATAAAAATAATCACTAAATTTTACACACTTAATAGCCATGTATTAAAAACTATTTTCGCTGTACAGTAGAGGGGAAAGAAAGCTGAAATGTAACTCCTAAGAATAGAAGTACAGTAGGCAGCAGAGTGGCTTTGACTTTGAAGAGGGCTCACCCAAAACCCAGGCTCAAAACCAGAAGTCACCAGTGTCAGGGACAAAGTACATTTCATTATTGTTTGAGCTGTTAAACTTGAATCTGTTTATTATGCTACCTATGGCTCACAAATATTTATTGTGGTCACCTCCTTACTTAAAGTCTTCTTACTTTTATTTGGTTTCAAGGGCTTCCTATAAAACTTTGAAAACATATTCATGGCCTCTCCAGTCCCCTAAGCAAGGCTTTATGGGTCAAAAGATGACAGTCAGATCCCTGTCACAGCCCAAGCTCTGTTGTTAGGGTACTGTAATGTGAAGGCCAGGATTTACAGTGCTACAGCAATGATCAAGAGTGGTCACAAGGAGCAGAGGCAGTCAAAGATGCCCAGCGGCAGATAGCAAGAACCCTGTCTCTTGGACTAGACTGAGCCATCACCCCTAACCAGCGGCAGAGAGGATGTCTGGGGGCAGACATCGCCAAAGCTGCCCCATGCCTGGAGAATCCATTTTACTGAACAGGAAACGAGACATGATCCTTCGTTGGTGAAGACAGGGTAAACCTTAAAACTCATTAGAAGATATTTGCCTTCCTATCTGTTTGTTCACAACCCCAAGTGGCTCTCGTGGCTAGCTGGGACACAGCCAGACTGAAACCAGGAGCTTGGAACTTCATCCGGGTCTCCCCTGTGGGTGGCAGAGATCCAGGCACTTGGGTCACCTTCTGCTGCCTCCCCAGGTGCATTAGCAAGGAGCTGGATCGGATGTGGAGCAGCCAGGACTAGAATCGGCTCAGTGATATGGAATGCCAGTGTGATAGGTGGCAGCTTAACTTGTTGTACCACAAAGCCAGCCCCTAACTTAAGATTTAAATGAAATAATACTGATGCCTAGAATAGTGCTTCAAATAGTACTCTGCATCTGCATCCCAGAAACAGAGGCAAAACAAGACTTGCAAGAGCAGATGAATGCTCACAGTGCAGGTGAAAGCCCACAGTACCCTGCAGTTTGTCAGGGGCCTCTGGGCCGTTTCCAGATTGGGAGCAGACTCCATGATCTCCAACAATAATTTTGGTTCTGAGCGTATGCCTGGGCCTTGATTCCATCTCTTCTCCATCACAAGCAAAACTAAATCTTTGACCTTGGTACCAGCAGTCCAAGATGGTTTCCACACCACCTGGGCATCCTCAGAACATCAGCTGCAGTCTCTTCTTACCAAAGATTGATGAAAGAAGTAGAGTCCCGGGAGGCCTTGCAATGCAGGAAGGAGAATCCCCTTTGATGTTTTCACCTTGTACACAATGCTGATGACATAAAGCTGTGTGAGAAACCCCCACGGTTTGTTTGTTTGTAGGTCCCGAGATGTGGCTGTTGTTAAAGTGACCATGAATTTTGAACCCAATAAAGTGAATATTCAAAAGAAAAACTGCCGTGTGGAAGGAAAGGACACTGTATGCATAAATGCTACAGTGTGTTTTGATGTGAAATTGAAGTCTAAAGAAGACATGATTTATGAAGCTGGTAAGTGTAATGGTGATAGAAAATGCAGCTGGTCAGAGGACAATATTTTGCTCCAACACGATGAAATCCAGTAGGATGTTTAGGATGTTGCTTTTTGCTTAATCATAGGAAGCAACATCACTTCTGCCGTGGGAGCATGTTGAATCTTGAAAAAAATTCTGCTACAGAAAGAATAGGTTATGGAACCCAATAAATTCTAGAGCAGGAATTATGAGTTTGTCTGCAACGGCCTCAACACTTCTTAGTTCCACACTGACTCTCCTGTGTGCTACAAACCATCATGTGCAATACATGTACCAATTTAGAGGTAGAGTTTGCAAATTGGGCTCCAGATGAGCCCAGCTTTGCTTCCGGTGGGTTTTCAGAGAAATCTCCCTCCCTTCTCCTGTCCCGTGCTGGGGAAGACTGGTATTGCAGAGGACCTGAATATTTTGCTGCCCTTACGTTCCCCAGATGCTCGTTTTTTTAAAGTTAGACTTGTCCTGTACGCATTCTTAGGTGTGTCACAGCAGCATGAACATCCCCTTCCTCTCTACACTCTCCAGTTTCTAAGGCAATTGTTAGTGATGTTAAAATATATTGGAGTGGAAGCTGTGAATGCCATTGGCTGCAGAAAAGTAATTTACTCTGTAAACCAATTGTAAACTCTTTGACAAAAACCAATGATCTTTAAAATAGATGTTTCTTAATGAGCTCTAAATAGGCAGATATTTGCTCTGAAATTGACCCCTGAGTAGAAGATAAAGGAAGTATAGGGATATAAAATAACAATTTTAGTTTTCATGTGCAGCATTATTTCAGTGTTACTTAATTTTTTATGGTAACTAAGCAATCAGATAAAGAGGATCGTAGTCTTCACTGCCTTATTAGAAGGCATAGGTGTCATTTTTTTTCCTTTTTTGTGGTGTGCTTATCTGATTAGATGTAATAGTGCTTTGAACATAATCTAAGATAATGTTTTTTGTAAAATAGATAAAAATGTCATTAATGTATATTTTTGTCTATTGAAATATGTCAAATAGGATTGCAATATTTCTAAACTGAAAACATTTTAGAAGTAGAAATCCAGTAAACACTGACATAGTTGGCAAATTTGATGATATGTGGAGCGTGAGTATACATTTTAAATAAGTATAATCAATCATTAAAATTAGAGTGATGGCCGGCACCTCGGCTCACTAGGCTAATCCTCCACCTGCGGTGCCAGCACACCAGGTGCTAGTCCCAGTCAGGGAGCTGGATTCTGTCTCGGTAGCACCTCTTCCTGTCCAGCTCTCTGCTGTGGCCCGGGAGTGCAGTGAAGGATAGCCCAAGTGCTTGGGCCCTGCACCTGCATGGGAGACCAGGAAAAGCACCTGGCTCCTGGCTTTGGATCAGTGCTGTGCGCCGGCCGCAGCAGCCATTGGGGGGTGAACCAACGGCAAAGGAAGACCTTTCTCTCTGTCTCTCTCTCTCACTGTCCACTCTGCCTGTCAAAAAAAAAAAAAAAAAATAGAGTGAACTTCAAGCACTCTATAGAGCTTGACAAATTTATCTTCATGACCACTGATGTCATTGTACTACAGAATTGTGGATGTGCTGAATAATAGAAACTTTTTGTTGATTGACTGCTCAGTAGCTTTTTCTATAAAGCTAATTTTCTGAGTTGTTCTTTATGAAGAAATCAGCCCACATAAGCATTTATGTCAATTATTTTTAAATGTGTTTACAGATATGCAGTACCGTGTCACACTAGACTCATTAAGACAGATATCACGAAGTTTTTTCTCTGGAACTCAAGAGAGAAAGATTCAAAGAAACATAACAGTTCGAGAATCAGAATGCACAAAGCACTCCTTCTACATGTTGGCAAGTAAATCATATATAAGAGTCCCTTCAAAGTGCACATTGTAAACTTTGTTTATTTGATCTTATCAGAAATAACAGGTCTCATTTTCTAATTTTCAAATACATTTCCTAAAACTATCTTGTCTCCCCTTGTGTGTTATCAGATATCCATACATTAAGGAATAGAACACAGTATTCTACTTTACAAGAGATTGTGTTTAGTTATTCATTTCTTTTTAGTTATTCATTGATTTATTATTTCAACTCGAATACATCATTTAACTTCTGTGGGTCTCATTGGTCAAATGTAGAGGGTAGGTGATTAACTCTCCCAAGGGCAGAATGTTGGGCCAGGTGGCTTCTGGGATCCACTGAACTGCATCTCTTGCTCCTTGACATTAGACTGAAGAATGAAAAATGATATTTTCTATCATCTGTAGGCTTTGTGCTACTTCAGTTTCTATTTCAGTGGATGAGGGAGGCTTGGAAAGCAAGGTTTTAACCTCAAGAATGACTGGTAAGCCAGTCTGAACCATTCTAAATGTATTTTATTGGAGCACTGTGTATGTGGGGAGTATTCTCAACTGAAAGCATGAAATTCCTAAATACTTGCTTAAAATATACATGATATTGATTTTAAAAACAGCCATAATGAAGGTAATGAGGAAACACTGATGTTAGTAACTGAGATGAAGACTTAGAGATTTGAACATGACCTTGAAGCTTTAAAGGAGACAGTGGTTTTCCCCTGACTTATTTCCATATTCTTGATGCACTCATATTCTATATTTTGAAAATTGTGATTAGGGGAAGGCAGTGATTTTCATATCTACATTCCTGATTATATATTTTATATATGTATATATACATATAAATTGGCTTATTCTGTCAACACTAAGGTCAATCTATGATCTGAAAAAGTCAAACTGGTGTTTTCTATAATTTAGCTCATTGGAACTGACCATTTATTTAGGAGCTAGACTGCAGATAAAAACTTGAGTGGGCTTAAAACCAGACATGGTACTTCCTCCAACCTGCTAAAAAATCATTGCAGTCTGTTTGTCCATGAATGCAGTGTCTAAGCTATGTCTAGGGACTGGTGTTGACAGGGATGAACTCGTTTCAGTTTCCAATAAGTCCTTTTGGATCTGAAGAGGCATTTTAACATTTGTTCTAGAGTTAGCCAGAGTAAAATTTGTATCAGAACTTCCCCACGTGCTGAGTGACATGGGTGAAGTTAGTTAGTCCCTTAAAGACTCAGTTTTTCATCTGTAAAACGAGGATCATAGCAGCTGCTCCCCTGAGGGGTCTGTTGGGAAATAATTCACAATAATGTGTGAGAAGCTCCTCACTTTGGACACTATGAAGGATTATTGTCATTGGTGATGATATTAATAATAGTGGACATATACACATCATTCCCGTATCATTTTACATTATAAAATTCTTACAGCTCTAGGTAGATATTGTATCTATGAAATGCAGTCCCATTTAAAGAAATTTCACCCCTCTGAAATCGGGAGACTTTCCTAGCAGTAAAACATGCTGATTCTTACTCTGAAGTCTGAGGAGCAATGGTACTGATAAACAAGTAGGTCTGGGCATATACCCTACCATGGCGAGCTACTGTGAAGCCCATGCCCTGGCAGGCTCCTCTGGAGCTGTAGGTGAGTCCGCTGGCCATGCTCTGAAGCTCGTTCCAGCTGGGTCCCTCATCGAGACAGAATGGCAGTCCCCTCCAGCAAAGCAGAAGCCAGATGAAGTCACAGGACAGGTGGGTTAGGTGCTCAAGGATGCAGCACAAGCCTGACCCACAGGGCAGAAGAAGGAAGCTCCAACAAGATCAGAACGTCAGTGAATATGCTACCAATAACATATTTCATGTTCCAACTTCCAGGACAAGCATGACTTCCAGGACTCAGTGAGAATAACCTTGGATTTTAATCTTACTGATCCAGAAAATGGGCCTGTTCTTGATGATTCTCTACCTAATTCAGTGCATGAACATGTAAGTCAGATTATTGTTTACTCAAAATGCCTACTTGTGAGTATGTTAAGAAAATATTGAAATGCATAAATATAGAACCCTAAATCTATTCTATTTACTAAAGAGAACAGATTCTCCTAGACTTCTCCCACCCCTTCTAACTTACTATTGTTGGAGTTCAAGAGAACTAAAAAATGATGCTCATTTTTACCTCACCTAAATTCAGGAAGAATAGTAAGTAACGTCCCCCTTTATTCTAGTAAACATGGTGCTTTGAAGTGTGGTTTAGGGCTAATGAGTGTCCTCACGCTGAACCTGGGACTTCCACCACAGATAAACAGCTAGCCTGGCGGCTTTGCTGACCCATCTCTGGCCTCCTTTGTGGAGGCCTCCTCATAAAAACTCTCAAAGTAAAGGAAGTGCGTATCATGGGCACACTACAACCACAGAACAGAAGAGACAGGAAGGCACAGAGCTGTGTTTACCCAGGTCCTGTTTCCAAATTTAGACTCCACTGTCCCACTCCTAAGAGTGAATGAGGGGATGGGGAGGCAGGTGTCCTGGGTGTGACACCAGTGGAGGAAGCATTAGGGATAAAGAACCCATTTTCCCAGTGTGCCCATTTTGCATGCTCCCTTTCTCCTTACCAAGTATATTCATTGCCTTCCATGTACCAGACATTGGAGCGTCCATCTAAATTAGGAAACAGGTATTAAGTGGTAATAAAAGCTTATGCCATGCAGGAGAATTTCAGAATGCTCCTGCCTAGGCTGGGGAGTCAGGGGGCTCCCCCTGGAGCCATGACATTTATGTTGAGACCTGAAGGATGGATTACTTTTTCTACTCTATTTAGAGGAATAGTGGAGAGCAAAGGGGATAGTGTGTGTCAGGGTCCTGAGTCATTAAGGAGACTCAACTATACTCACGAGCGTGGCTTAAACTAAAAAGCAAGGGAGAAGATGATGTTAAATGAGGCTCAATGTGAAGGCAGTGGCCAGATCTATCAGGAATTGTTGCCACTGCACATATTTTAAACTTTTTAAAAAGCAGTGCTGTTAAAGGTTTTAACTTGGGTCGGTGGTAGGATTTCAGCAGCAACATGGAAAATGATTGGAGGGAAATAGGATTGGGTGTGGGAGACCAGTCGGGAGACCAAAGTTGCTTTAGTTCAGGGGGGGAATGAGGATGCCTGGACTAGAGGTGGTGATAGTGGTGGTGGTGGTAGTAGTGGTGGAAACAGAGTTTGGAAAGGATTTGGGAGCTGTTTAGAGGAGGGCGGGGTGGTAGAACAGTGTTTGGTAATAGTTTGGACAATGGAGAGGGGGTGTATGAAGAAGAGGAATCATGGAATGTGTGCCTTGCCATTTTCCACCCTTTTGGCTGAGATGGTGTACATTTCTACACATTTGATTGTTTTTCACAGAAAACTCTCACACCTGGAGTTGAGTAGAACTAGATTGGTCTTCTCTGGCAGTCCAAAGTCAGTGAAAAACATTCATGGAAATGGTGCATCCTTAAAATAACTAGAAAAAAATTATATCCACAAGTAAAAGTTTGCTGTTTTCCGCTATCACTTACAGGAAAAAGTATAAAATTCCTTAAGATTTCTGCATGCAATTGATTCTGTGTAAAAGTTGCTGGACTTATTTGGGCACTGTGTTATGGAAATTGATAGGTAATTTTCAATAACCTTAAGTAAATTTTGAAAAAGACCTTGTTGGGGCCAGCGTCGTGGCTCACTTGGTTAATCCTCCACCTGCAGCGCTGGCATCCCATTATGGGCGCCAGATTCTAGTCCTGGTTGCTCCTCTTCCAGTCCAGCTCTCTGCTGTGGCCCGGGAGTGCAGTGGAGGATGGCCCAAGTGCTTGGGCCCTGCACCTGCATGGGAGACCAGGAGGAAGCACCTGGCTCCTGGCTTCGGAACGGCACTGCACTGGCCATAGCAGCCATCTAGGGGAGTGAACCAACAGAAGGAAGACCTTTCTCTCTGTCTCTCTCTCTCTCTCACTGTCTATAACTCTACCTGTCGAGTAAATTTAAAAAAATTACAAAAAGACCTTGCTGTGACTGTTTCAGATTCCCTTTGCCAAAGACTGTGGAAACAAGGAAAGATGCATCTCGGACCTCACCCTGGACGTATCCACCACAGAAAAGAGCCTGCTCATTGTCAAATCTCAGAATGACAAGCTCAATGTCAGCCTCACAGTCAAAAACAAAAAGGACAGTGCGTATAACACCAGAACAATAGTGAATTATTCTCCAAACCTAATTTTTTCGGGAATTGAGGTAAACTTAAGAGCATTTCTCTTATTGACTCTCGTAACAGTCATTTATTGAACTCATTTTTCATGACTGAGATAATTGCCTTTATGAAATTGATTTTAGACATGTAGAAAGCACTGTGTTCAGAATCAGTACTCACTAATGATGAAAGCACCAATCTTTTTTACAAGACCTTTTGTTTTCTTTCTTTGGAGACATGTGTCTCTCCTTAGACTCAGTTTGGGGAAAAGATTGCTGATGTATCAAAAGTATTTGTTTCACAAAGTCCTTAGCCCACTGAAACTGCCACTGAATCAAAGGGGAAAATGGAACAGTGAAAGCCAAGAGTAGTTTATCAGAGATGCAGAGAGAGACTTCTACACTTAACAAAGAAAAATTCACATGCAGAAAATGCCAGATGCCACTTCCCCCCTTCTACAGAAAATCCCAACTTTGGCAAGAGATGTGTATCAAACTACTGTGTTTTATTAACTCATAATGGAAGTGTTTTCTGTTCCTTTGTCAATGACATGTAGCTGTATAAAATGCTATGTCCGGGGTAATTAGTGTTTCCAAATTTGATTCTTGGTTTTAATTCTGATTTCCAAATGAGTCTTCTAGACTTTAAATTCTGTATGTATTTATAACTGATTAATAATGTCTAAAATTCATGTTAGAAAGCCAGACACTTAGAGCAGGCATTTGGCCTAGCAGTTAAGATGTCTGTATCATATATCAGAGAGTCTGGGTTCAATACCAACCTCTGACTCTGGACTCCAGCTTTCTGCTAATGCAGACCATGGGAGGAAGTAGTAATAGCTCAAATGATTGGGTCTGTGCCATTCACATGGAAGACATGGACTGAATTCTCGGCTTCTGAGTCACTAAGGAAATTGTGGAATAAAGCAGCAGATGGGAGCTCTCTTTCTGTCTGTTTCTCCTTCTTTCTCTCTCTCAAATGATTTTCTTAAAAAAGGAAAAAGAGGCAATACATTTATTATTTATTATAGCATTAAAACTCTATTTCTAGTTTCCATTAATTCAGATTTTCACTGATATTTTTGTCCAGTTGTTAGGATCACTTAGAGATGTGATGACTAAGATAAGCTTAAAGATACATCATGTATTACTATAACATATTTTGTATTTGGTTGTGAATATTAATCATGAATATAAATGAGCAAGTTAATGTTGAAATATATAACCACTGAAGCTATCTCTGTAAATGAAAATACATTATGAATCCTTGCCTGTATCCTCTTGAGCGGACTTACTAACTGGGGCAGAGGCAGAGCTATAAAACCAACAGGGTCTTGTATTAACAATAGCAGCAGTAATAATGACAGGAACCCCTTTGTGAATCATATCAGGTGCTAGCCACTGTTCTCAGGATTTCACTTATTTAATTCTCATGAGTTCTTTTGTCAGAAGGCATTACTGTACTGCAGAGATTAAAAAACTAAACTCTTCCACATTTTAGCAATCCTATAATTGCATTTTGCAAGTGATAGCTTGTTTAACTGGCAGCATGGTTTTTCCTTCTTACTGGTAGGTAAAATACTGGTAGGTCTCATATTCAGTGCCTTTTCAAGTGTAATGAAATTGGAGTAGGACTAACTTGGACTGACTCCACTTGAGAGAAAATCGGGCCCAGAGAGGTGAGAAGTCTTGACAAGGATAAGCCACCAATGACAGAGTCTGGATAAATCCTAGTGGACATGGGCTGGAGCCCATGCTGTTAGCCATGCTGCTAAAATCCACTAAGGAGTGTTATGCACTGTGGGCTTCTCTGTGCCAGTCCACTATGTGTGGCTTACGTTGTTCAGCCACGGCATTCAGCTGTGAGGTAGGTGCTATTAGCACTTCTATGTTACTCAGGATTTAGCCAGGAGAGTGCACTGTGCTTTGTCTTCCAGACTCCCACAAGTGATGTTTTCAGATTTCCACTGGCTCTGGAATAGGTGATCCAAGAATAATGTGACTTTTGCAGCTAAACAGAGACACAAACATTGGCAAGGCAACCACCAAGGCACAGCTAGGAAAATTCTAAAAGGAACAAATTCAAGTATTTCACCTGCTTGTCTGCTATAATTCTGTTTACTTTTGTTTCCCAGGGGATCCAAAAAGACAGTTGTGAATCCAATCGTAATGTCACATGTAAAGTCGGATATCCTTTCCTGAGAAGAGGAGAAATGGTAAGCAGTTTACATAAGATGTAACATGAAGAATAGTATGTGCAAAGCCACATATTTAAATCCTTCTGATGGTAACTTAGGATGATGTAGATGAAGATGGTTTAGTTCACAATTTTTATAGCTTAGAATTGCTATGGTCTGAATATCTGTGTCCCCCAAAATTCATATGCTGGAATTTAATCTTCAATCTGATAATATTAAGAGGCCAGGCATTTAGGAAGGCTAATATTAAGAGACAGGGCATTTGGAAGTGGTGACCTTATAAAAAGAGGCCCAAGAGAGCTTGTTTACCATTTTTGCCATTTGAGGACATGGAGCAGGCATATGGTATCAGCAACAGACCCTCCCTAGGCTCTGCATCTGCTGGTGTATTGATCTTGGAATTCCCAATCTCCAGAACTGTGAGCAGTAAATTCTCATTGTTTATAAATTACCCACTGTAAGGTATTTTTTTAATAGCACCCAGAACAAACTGAGAAGAAATCAAGAACAAATTACTGCATAAATCAAAATCAAGGCACAAGACAAAATTTCTACTAGATAAATGGCTGCATCATTTGACATTCCCTCCAGCCATGGATGAGGCTCCCACTTCTCTACATTTTTGTCTGTCTCCTGTTTGTTAGCTTAATGTTTTATTTATGACTTTTGAGATAACTTTTTTAAGATTTTTTTAAAAATTTATTTATTTATTTATTTATTTGAAAGTCAGAGTTACACAGAGAGAGAAGGAAAGGCAGAGAGAGAGGTCTTTCACCTGATGGTTCACTCCCCAATTGGCCGCAATGGCCGGAGCTGTGCCAATCTGAAGCCAGGATCCAGGAGCTTCTTCAGGGTCTCCCACGCGGGTGCAGAGGCCCAAGGACTTGGGCCATCCTCCTCTACTTTCCCACCCCATAGCAGAGAGCTGGATTGGAGGTGGGGCAGCTGGGACACAAACCAGTACCCATATGGCATGCCAGCACTGCAGGCGGCAGCTTTACTAACCACCATGCCACAGCACTGGCCCCAGTAACTTGTTTTAATTTACACTCTAGCCAAAGATTTATTGCTCCACTAAATAAAGAATTCAATAAATAAAAAACTAAACAGACCATAGTTGAGCAGGAAAATAGGCAAGGGCTATAAGCAATAATCAAATGAAAAGATGTGCAATTTCATTTATATAAATTTTAAAATAGTTACAAAATCATTAAAACTATAGTAGTATGTAATTCTTAACAGTTTGTTTGTGTCTGTCTCTTTTATTATGGCCATCCTAGTGTGTGTGGGGGAGGATCTCATTATGGTTTTCATTTGCATTCCCCTGATGGTTATTGCTGATGGAGGCATCTTTCCATGTGCTTATTGGCCAGATGGAGGAATGTCTATTAAAATCCCTTTAGGATTTTAACTGGCTTATAGCCTTATTATTGAGAAATAAGAGTTCATATAGTTTACATTTAAGTCTCTTAGAATATATATGATTTTCAAATATTTCCTCCTGTTATGTAGGTTATCTTTTCACTTTCTTGGTGGTGCCTTTTGAAGGACAAAATTTTTAATTTTGATTCAGTCCAATTTATCAGGATGCTCAGAAATGTCATGGAAACATGCATTGTGAAGACACTTCATGTATTTCAAAACACTTTTGCATAAAAATAAATTCTTTTTTAAAAAAGATGTTTTTTATATTTTTTCATTTATTTATATTACTTGTTTATAAGAGACAGGGACAGACAGAGATTGCCAATCCATTGATTCACCCCTTAAATGTCCACAGCAACCCAGACTGAACTAGAAAGACAGAAAAAAAGAAAGAAAATTATTTGATCATAAACATGTGGGTCTAATTCTGTACTTTCAACTTATGTCATAAAACTATAAGTCTATCGTTATACCAGTACTATCTGTTTTGATTACTATAGTAAGTCTAGAAATCAAGAAATATCTATCCTCCAAATATGTTTTCATTTTCTTTTTCAAAATTGTAGGTCCCTTGCATTTCCAATAGATGTTATGGTCAACTTGTCGTTTTCTATATGAAATCAGCTGGGAGTTTGATAGGCATTCTAGTGAACATGTAGATCAATTTGGGGAATATTATCAGCTTAAAAATATAAAGTTTTCTGATCCATGATCATGGAATGCCTTTGTGTTTATTTAGATCTTCTTCAGTTACTTTCAACAATTTTTGAAAGTGTAACTTTTGCACTTCTTTTGTTAGATTTATCTAAGTATCCCTTTTGGTACTATTTTAAATGGAATTATTTTTTAAAATTGATTTCCAGATTGTTTAATGCTCATGTGTAGAAATACACTTGCTGTTTTAATATTCATCTTTTCCCTTTAACCTTGCTATTTATATTTAACTTGCTATTTATATTTAACCTTGCTAAATATACTTATTAGTAAAAGGGCTTTCTCCCTATTACATGGGGCATGGTTACTAGTGACTCAAGAAACTATCTGCAGATCACTATATAGTAATTATTCTTTTTTATATTTTTTATTTATTTATTTGACAGATAGTTACAGAAAATGAAAGGGAAGTAGAGAGAAAGGTCTTCCATTTGCTGTTCACTACACAAAGGGCTGTAATGGCCAGAGCTGGGCCCATCTGAAGCCAGGAGCCAGGAGCTTCTTCCAGGTCTCCCACTCAGGTGCAGGGACCCAAGCACTTGGGCCATCCTCCACTGCTTTCTCAGGCCATAGCAGAAAGCTGGATCAGAAGAGGAGCAGCAGGGATTAGAATCGGTGCCAATATGGGATGCCAGTGCCACAGGCAGAGAATTAACCTACTGAGCCACAGTGCTGGCCCCAGTAGTTACTTTTAAACTCAGTACATTTCCTGTATATCTGTTATGGTTTTATTTCAAGATTTGTTTTATTTATTTGAAAGGCTGATTTAGAGAGAGAGGGAGAGACAGAATTTCCATCTGATGGTTTACTCCCCAAATGGCCGCAAAAACTGGAGCTGGGCCAGGTGTAAACCAGGAGCCTGGAATTCCACCCTGGTCTCCTGCACAGGTAGCAGGGGTCCAGCACTTGGGCCACCTTCTGCTGCCGTCCCTAGCACATCAGCAGGGAGTTGGATAGGAAGCAGAGCAGCTGGGATGCAAAACAGCCCTCCCATATGGGCTGCCTGTGTCACAGGCAGCAGTTTAACACCTGCACCCACAACACTAGCCCTCCTGTATGTCTGTTTTTACCCTATGAAAATAACTAGGGGCCAGTGCGGTGGTAAAGCCACTGCCTGCAGTGCCAGCATCCCATATGGGTGCTGGTTCAAGTCCTGGATGCTCCACTTCTGATCCAGCTCTCTGCTGTGGCCTGGGAAAGCAGTAGAAGATGGCCCAAACCCTTGGGCCCCTGCACCCACGTGGGAGACCTGGACGATGCTCTTGGCTCCTGGCTTAGAATCGGCGCACCTCTGGCCCTTGTGGCCAATTGGAGAGTGAACCAGCAGGTGGAAGACCTCTCTCTTTCTCTCTGCCTCTCCTTCTCTCTGTGTGTAACTCTGACTTTCAAATAAATAAATAAATCTTTAAAAAATAAAAAAATGAATATTGACATATTCAGTTCTTCTCAGTTCTACAGTACAATCATTGGAAACATTAATTGCAATCTTAATAATTTCTTAACCATTATTCTTTCCTTCAGCAATTCCTTGCTGCTTAGGGTAAAATCATACATCAAAGTTTCTCTTAGATTATCTGTAGGGAGATGGGAACCAAATTTGCAAGTAATTTTGACATGGGCTTTATGCCTGGAATATTCTTTGGTTTCAAGATCTAGATTTGTAGTTAAAGCATTTCAGGATAGCTTCTTCAGTCCCCCTTCTCTGCTCCTAATATCTCACCCTAGTGTAATCCATTAAATATGGAAATACCTGCAAGCCCCAGGGTAGCCTGGGAGGTTAAAAAAAGTCATAAAGGAAGAAGTCCACCAAGTGGCTCAGGCTGTTGACCCTTTGTCTGTTGTACTTCAAAGCCACCCTATAAAATTTCTCCTGGAACTGTGATTACTCTTTCCAAACAGGAAGAAAACTGCAGAAACTGTATATTCTTATAACTTTCTTTCTCTTTCATACTATCAATCAAAATATATGTGGAAAAATAAAATAGAAAACACACATAGGATATATGATACAACTATGGATGTCAATGGCCCTTGAATTCTGGTCATCCCTTCTGTAAAAGTTACCTAAAATTAAAATTGATTTAAAAAAAGACTCTAAATATCCAGCTTTCTCCTATTTAACACTTAATGACAAAGATTAAACTGTAGATAGTTTCTATTACTTGAGTATTTTGGATTATCTGTTTTGCTTGCCCAAATTCTAAGATACCTCAGCACAAAACAAGGTTAGTTTTGAGAATGGGAAATGTAATTTTTTAATTAAAAACATTTATGTAAAGGGAACAAAGTTCATGTATTTCATATATGTAGTTTGAAGAGTGTGATAATACTTCACCCATCCCCTCCCTGAGGCCACTTCAACTAGAACACTACAGATAACATATTTCTTTAAGAAAGTAATTTAGCAGTTGGTCTACCTGTTGGTGTTTATGAAGAGTCATACATCATGAAATCCTGGTGTTCAGGCACAGTTGCTCAAAAGTCAGTTGTCTGCAGCAGAGCATCAATGAAATGAAAACATTTTCTGGGTTTTTTTTTCCATTTTTCATTATAATTTACTTTATCCTAGATTACTGAGACTTTCATTTTACTTTATTTTTGTTATTATTCCTTAAAGATCCAAAAGTCCCTTTACAACATTGAATTAATGGAACCAAATATGTTTTCTTCTGTTTTATAATAGATATGTGTAGATAGCTGTTGGCTTTTGAAATTTGCATATTAAAGATGTTTTAACTGAGACCATTTCATAATCATATTGTTTATGACCTGGTCAACTCTTTTAAAAAATAAGTTGCACCTTCATGGTAATAGTTTACAATTAATATAAGTGATTTTTGTTACTGTAATTTGAATAAAGTACTTAAATTCAAAACTAGTATGTGTCAATCCATTTGAACTGCTAGAGAAAAATAACATAAACTGAATGGCATTTACACAAGAAATTTATTTCTCACAGTTCTGCAGACTGGGAATTCCAAGATCAAGGTGAAGGCACACTTCTTGGTTCTTAGAACGTGTGTTCTCACTGCTTACTGGGAAAGCCACTTTTGGGGGCTTCTTTATAAGAGCACCAATCCTGTTTATGAGGGTTCTGCTCTTATGACATATCACCTGTCGTAAAGCCCTGCCTCCTGATGGCATCACACTGATGATTATATTTCAACCTATGCATTTTGAAAGGCACAAGCTTTCAGACTACAGTAATATGTGAAGCTTATTACATATCCATATTTTAAAGTGCAGCATATCTTTATCTATTTTTGAGATGTGAGGTTTTATTTTGTAAGGTAATATTTCTTAAATGACTTTATAATGTAAATTGAATGTTTTAATCAAAGTAAACATTTTCTGAACCAGTTACTAATGATATATTTTTATTTCATAGGTAACTTTTAAAATATTATTTCAGTTTAACACATCTCATCTCATGGAAAATGTGGTCATTCACTTAAGTACAACAAGGTTGGTGTATATATGTGTATGAGTGTATGTCATCTCCTGTGTATTAAAGTACTTTTTTCTTTGTAGACTCACTGGAAGCTTCTTACAGCTTATAAGAGAGCAGTAGAAGACAAAGAAGCACTTTGCTTCACAAAAACACTCTTCAGAGTAATTAGCAAAATAAAGAAATTTTTAGTTGATAGAAATAATTCACCTGACCGGAATAAGCCAGTAGATCTGTAGAACATGATATCACCCATCACTTCAGCTGCCACACTGCATTTAAATTCACTTAAAATTTTACAGGCTCTACAACTTTAAAAACTTTTACAGGCTACCCATTAAAATTAACTCAATCAGTAGATGGACTTAAAGCTTTATGATGCCCTTTGGTAGTCCATTGTGATACCCTTAATAAATTTTATCCAAATCAATCAAAGCTTCTAATAAGTATCATAGAACACACGGACTAAAAACAGCAACAAGTGATAAGGAAACTGCAATAGCAGCTCAGAGTTCTTCTAAGTGTAATTATCTTCTGGACCATCTGCATTGAGATCAAGTTCTGCCTCTTGTTGCTTTACTCCTCAGTAACTATATTAGTGCATGTCATATAACAGTCACTGTGTAGATGTAGAGTAAATGAATACTTGACAAAGATGAATTATGGATGAATTAATTCCGTATGTTCAGTCCAATTCAACTCAGCAAATACTTCATTGACATCCACTATAAACAAGATATTGAATTAGTCACTATAGGAAATAAACCACCTGAGGGGGTGAATATTACAGTAAAGGGTTGAGACTAGTATGAAGTTAATGTGACACCGTAAAGTAAGGATATTGGAAAATAAACATCGTGTCAGGGACATACTGGAGGATGAAACTGTATCTCCTGGGCAATCAGAACCCAAAAAACCTTTATCAAGGAAGTTATAATTGAGAAAGACCTTAAAGGATAGATAGTATTTCACAGAGAGATTGCTGAATTGAATTAGCTGGGCCACTTCAGGTGAAATTCATAGCTTAAGGAAAAACTCAAAGAAAGACCAGTTGGTGTACTTTTGAAGAATATTGATTAATCCATTTCAGCTAAAATAGAGAATACATATAGTCATAATGGGAAGTAAGCAAGAAGTGTGCATCCTACTGTACTATGCCAGGTACCAAATGTTAGCAAAGGGTGTTTTCTTCCTTAAGTGAACAAGCTATGAAGAGTCTTCTAAGGGCTGAAGTCATTCATAAAGAGCTGCTTGTTGGGAAGATGAATTTGGCTGCAGTGTGGAATAGATGAGAGAAAAGGGAACCATCTGTACCAGGAGCTCAGTCACACAAATGCCCAGAGCCCACAGCAGCAGGATGCCTGAGCTGCCTGTTGCTCATCCCAAGCCACCTCATGTACTGGGGAATAATCAGAACCACTAGAAGGTACTCACTACCCAGTCTGTGAGACAATGCCCTAGCTGCTAGGTCAGTTGGTGGGGGGACTTACACTTAATAATGAGTATTTCCTATGCCCTAGGACCATCTTACATAGTTTATGCTGATTATACATTTATTCATCATTGAATGCTAATATCCCACATTTTATAGATACACAAAGCATAAAGAGCTTAAGTAATTCACACATAGAACCAGTGTCCAAAAACAATCTCATTCTCTGGACCCAGAGCTAGTGATCATAAATTATATCACTTGTTCATGTTTGTTAGTGCTGTGAAATGTGAGATATGTGTATCCGTATATGCATATATATCTTTACATAAACTATAATTAAAATGGTAACCAAAATCTAAGAAATAAAGACATGCTGAACAAATAATATTAGTATCGAGTACTTGGCATGAAAAGAACATTAGAGGAGCAAACAGAAGATTTTAGATTCACTCGCACTTTTGTGTCCTTGCAAGTTCCTTGCCTGTGGTAAATAAATAAGCATCGCCAAGGATGATTAGTATTTTTTTTTAATTCCTGAGCCACAACTTGAAACTACTAAATCCACCATTTCTAGGAGAGGTGAGAAGTCTGTGTATTTTCACAATTAAGCCCAGAGATTCTTAACATTATCATCATAGAATTTTGAGAAATATTGGGCTAGATTAGTGTTGGTTTCAACTCTGGCTGCGTATCAGAATTAGCTTGGGAACTTTTCACAATATCTGTCCCTGACCTCTTCCTCATCCTGATTTTAAAATTATCAAGAATTCCACTGGATTGTGCTTTTATTTTGTTGACAAGACAAGCTTCTCTTGAACATGCTTACAGATGGCTGTACATGATCAACAGTTTAATGACGTCTCTGAATGTGCTGTGTATCTTCCAGTGACAGTGAAGAACCTCCTGAAGCCCTTTTTGATAATGAAGTAAATATTTCTATCCCAGTAAAATATGAAGTTGGACTACAGTTTTACAGGTAGGAGGAAACCACATTTTCGCGGCTACCTTTCTGTTAACTCAGAGGGTCTCCAGCTTTGGTCCTTGGCCAAGATCATCGGCATCCCCAAGGAACTTGTTTAGAAAGTGCTCCACCCCCACTCCAGAACTACTGAAACAGAAAGTTGAATATTCTAATAACCCAAAATGTGAAGTACTAGTGACATTGCGTTGTATTAACAATCCAATCTTAACTCCCAAACACAAAAGACAAAGTATTCTTAGTGGTCACCAGCATATTTTTTTAACGATGAATTGCATCCTGTGAAAATCTAATCAGCATTTTTCATGGACAAGATCTGTTTATTTCTTCAACTCTTCATAAACCATTCATAAACAAGAACTTCTTTTCTATCCAAACACCAATCATGTTAGCAAGATTTTCCTCTGTAAATCCCCTTGCTTAAGCTTTGGCTAAATAAATATGTGGAATATATACAAAAATAGAAGAATTTGTGGCAAGTTCAGTCTAATCCGAAGTTTTATGATTTTATTCATTTATTTTCATTGGAGCTTTACTGATAATACACCAGAAAAAAGAGAGTTTTACATGTGTGCCTTGCTTGTGTTTCCAAGCCTTTTGATTCTGGTGCTGGTTTCTATTTTGTTGTGTCCACTTTTGTTGACACACTGCATTCTCCTAAAAACTTTCCATTAAAATCAAGTTTTGGAAAAGAAAGTTACTTACAAGTATTTTTTATTTGCCTTCTCTTGACTGGAGTACTGTTTAAAAATATATTATTTCAGTCTACCAGTTTTATCCAAAGAATATGAAGTTGCAGGGAAAACATTAAATTTTTAGTTACGAGGCTGACACTGTGGCGCAAAGGTTAAACCACTGCTCGTAATGCTGGCATTCCATATGGGCCCCAGTTTGAGTTCTAGCTGCTCCACTTCAGATCCAGCTCCCTATTCATGGCCTGGGAAAGTAGCAGAAGATGGCCCAGGCCCTTGGGTCCCTGGACCTACGTAGGAGACCTAGGACAAGCTCCTGGCTCCTGGCTTTGGCCTGGCCCAGCTGTGGTCATTGTGGCCATTGGAGTGAAATAGCAGATGGGAGATATCTCTGTCTCTCTCTCTCCCTAACTCTGCCTTTCAAATAAATAAATAAATCTTTAAAAAAATTATTAAAAAATTTTAAGTTAGCAATAAATATAGGATTTTAAATTATGTAAAGTTAAAAATTTTTTCAAGCTATTTGAATTCTAACATATTAAAAATACCAATTTTTAGTTTATTATTCAATAGATATACATGATAATAGTGAATTTATAGAAATCTTTGACTTGCTAACAAAATTTTTATTGAAAAACTATACCTATTTTAGTATTTTTGGGTCAAATATAATCAATGAACTAAATTATATAATCATTCTCACCCTCCTAAAAGATTTGACTATAGATTTCAGGGTTAAAATTTTCCCATCTGTAAGTATCTTGGGGGGCTACAAGGTAAAGGATGATACCCAGTAGAAGTTAAACTTTTTCATATTTTATCTTTCTTCTTCCTATTAATTCGTTTAAGCTCTGCAAGTGAATACCATATTTCAATTGCGGCCAATGAGACAGTCCCTGAAGTTATTAATTCCACTGAGGACATTGGAGATGAAATTAATGTCTTCTACTTGGTAAGAAATTACCTCTAAATTACTATTCTAAAAGTGTCATTTGTAGGTTTATAAGTTGAAGTACTACCAGATACTTAAAAATTTGTTTTAATATTTAATCTCTATATTCCAGCTTACTTTCTTAATAATGTCACAATTTTAAAATAATTTTAATAATTAATCATACTTTGAATCAATTTAAAGATGTCTCTAATTCTTCATATTAAGATATAGTTCATTAGAATGATGTGTTAGAGTTCTCCAGGAAGAACTAATTAGAAATATAGATACAGATACACGAGAGAGGAGTTCTTAGGGAAACAGGTGCATGCAGTTGTGGAGGTTGAGAAGTCACAAGACAGGCCGTCCGCAAGCTGGAAATCAGAGGACGCCAGTGGCATGGCTGAGTGGAAGCCCAAAGCCTTCAGAGGCGGGATAGTCAGTGGTGTAACTCTCGTTAGAAACCAAAGGCCTAAGAACCTGAGCAGCCACTGGTGTGTGAGTCCTAGAGTCCACGAGCCCGAGAGCCTGGAGTTTTGATGTCTGAAAGCAAAGAAGGGTGCAGACACCTTTGTCTTTCCTCTGGGTTGTTCCCTCCAGGCCCCAGCCAACTGGATGGCGCTGGCCCACCTCATGGACAGATCTTCCCCACATCGTCCACTTAGACTCCCATGCTAGTCTCCTCTGGACTACCCTCATGGACACAGTGCTTACTTGGCTTCTAGGTACTCTTTTATACAGTTGACGTCTAAAGTGAACCATCACAAATGACTCCACATGGAACCAAGCAGATACTTCTCATAAACTCGAAGGTTTATTTACATTACTGGCACCTTTTTAGCAATTATGACTGTTTCAGAAATGCATTAGTTCAAAATTGATCATATTTTCCTTTACTCAACAAATATATATGAGCCTCATTCTGCTCGTTGCTACATTCATATGCATCATACTGTAAGTTGTGGATACTACCGCCTTCTTAAGTGATGATGTCTATTATGACACTTATTTTTTCTTTGAATCCTTCATAACAAACTTTTCCCAATCATTATAGCAAACGATCATGGAGTTTCTCTTTACATAATGTCTACTTACAGATGCATACTTAAGTTACTACTTTTCAAGATAAAAAGATAATTAAATTCAGATGATAGGTTTAAAAGTATATTCAGAAGTATGAAATAACACAACATAATTATAAAGGTATTCTCATTCTCTTTAAGAAATACCAACAATGAAACAGGAAGTTATGTTCCAAAGTGGAAGTAAATGTCTATCTTCAAGATGAGTTTCATTGTTTTTATTTGTGTTGTTGGAACATAACATGAATGCCAGTAATCATACTAGATTCCGGGAAGTGTCTTGGAATTCAGCCTCAGTAAGAAAATTCAGCAAACAACAAGAAGGAAAGAGGGAGGGAGGCAGACAGAGAGGGAGGGAGAGAGGGAAGTCAGGAAGGAAGGAAGGAAGGAAGCGGGGGAGAGGGAGGGAGGGGAAAAGAGGAAAGGAAAAGGATGAGTGAAAGAAAATATAATTTGAATATTGTTGATCTTCATATACTCTAATTGAAAGAGATAATCCTTACCTATCATAGACAATGTTGCTATAAATAACCTTGTTAAGCATATCCCTGAGGATAAACCTTTGTGCATCTCTGATTATTTTACGGAGATAAGTTCTAGAAATGTAGTAATGGAATTTTTTAAAAAAGAATTTTTTAGATGAGACCTCAGTAACATTACTGTTAGGAACTTGCCCTAAAAATTATAAGGGATGTTCTAAATAATGTTACTTGTAAGGGTTAGAGGGGCTGACGCCGTGGCTCACTTGGTTAATCCTCCACCTGTGACACCGGCATCCCATGTGGGCGTCAGTTCTAGTCCTGGTTGCTCCTTTCCAGTCCAGCTCTCTGCTGTGGCCCCCAGGAGGGCAGTGGAGGATGGCCCAATGCTTGGGCCCCTGCACCCACATGGGAGACCAGGAGGAAGCACCTGGCTCCTGGCTTCAGATCAGCACAGCGCTGGCCGTAGCAGACATTTGGGGAGTGAACCAACAGAAGGAAGACCTTTCTCTCTATCTCTCTCTCTCACTGTCTATGATTCTACCTGTCAAATTTAAAAAAGAGTTTGAAAATTAATATCTTGGGTTTAGCATTGTGGCATAGCAGGCATGCAAGGCTGGCATGCCATATGGGCACTGGTTCATGTGTCGGCTGGTCCACTTCTGTTCTAGCTCCCTGCTAATGGCCTGGGAAAAGCAGTGGAAGATGGCCCAAATGTTTGGGTCCCTGCCCCCCAAGTGGAAGACCCACATGAAGCTCTGGGCTCAGCCCTGGCCACTGTGACCATCTGGGTAGTGAACCAGGAGATAAAAGATCTCTCTCTGTCTCACCCTCTCTGTAATTTGACTTTCAAATAAATAATAATTAAAAAATCTTTTAAAAATATCATAGAACAATCTAAAAGTTTAACAACATGCAATGACAAATTTTCATATTTTCATTGAAGAGAATATCATCTATTCACTGGACAGTTTATTATAATATTGGAGGACATATTTTCAGAGTAGGAAACCCTAATTCTGCTATTTACCATGCCTGTGACCATGACAGTTTTCATTCTGGTTCAAACTTTGTTGCCTCATATGAAAATAGAGATAATAAAAATCTCCCTCCTATCGTTGTTAAGAAGGCTAAAGGCATTCATTCAAATAAGAGTAGCATAAAGCATGGCACAGTCAACAATAAATATTGATATTGTGGTTGTTGTCTATTTTTTAAAAGAATTATTTATTTGAAAGGCAGAGTTAGAGGGAGAGGGAGAGACAGAGAGAAAGAGGTCTTCCACTTGCTAGTTCACTCAACAAATGGCTGCAAGGCTGGAGCTGGGTCCATCAGAAACCAGGACTCCTCCGGGTCCCCCATGCAGATACAGGGGCCCAAGGACTTTGGCCATCCTCCACTACCTTTCCAGGTCATCAACAGGAAGCTGGATCATAAGTGGAGCAGCCAGGACTTGAACCGTGCCCACATAGGATGCCAGCTCCACAAGCAGAGGCTCAACTCACTATGCCACAGCACCAGCCCCTATGCAAACAATAAAGACAAAGAATTTATACACTAATGTTACCAAGGTAATTGAGTTGTAGGAAACGTTTATTTTCTATTTATCTACAGTATTGTCCAGTGTTTCTACAGGGAACTTTTTTTAATCAGAAAAAGATGATTATAGAATGCATGATTTCTGACTCAATATCAGGAAACAGATGGGAGGCCACACCAGACAAGCATAGGGCATATTATCATAAGAAGATAAGGGTCAATGAGCACATTTAAGAGGCTAGCACAGCTGGTCAGGAATCTCCAGGATTCCAGGATTAAGGAATTATGTAATCATTATCAGCCACAGGGAGTTGTTCCGGATCTGAGTAGCTCTCACTGTGGAAGGCTCTGTAGGGTGGGTCAGTGGATTTCTTGGTATCTGTCTATGTAGATAAAAGAGCTCCTATTTGACAAAAGGTTTTTCCCAAAGAGGCCACAGAGAAGGCTGAGGGAGACTGAGATGAAAGTCTGACTCTCATCAAACCATATTACCAACAGCCAATGCCACAATAGCACTAAGTGGGGACAGAATTGTGAAGGAGACTGGTGACGGTCTGGCTTGACTGTGCTGTGGTGGTAGGTGAAATCTAACCAGGGTCAGAGATGATTCATGGCCTTGGGCAAGGATGGGAAAATGGGTTACGGCAACTAGAAATAAGCTGAACTGTTCCATGTGACCAGGTAAATGGTCACCCTCCTTTCTAACTCCAAGAAGACCAGTATCTTAGAAAGAAAAACTGGCATGGCAAAAGCACAATAACAAAGAAAATTTTTCAGTTCTGATTCTGTTGTTAATCCCAGTCTTATTTTGGGAGTGGTGAAAGAGCAATATGATTATAACTGATGCATATGACCACCAACCATTAAATATCCATATTTTCTTGCTAGCTTAATCATGCCAGTTCTCTGAATTGTACCATAAACTGCATTCATTTGGAGCTTCAAAATTTTAGCCAACTTAATCCATCAGTTAAGAACTTAAGTCAGTGTAAGAGATAAAGGATGTTGCTGAAGGAGGAAGAAAAGATCACATTTGTATTTTTTCCCATAGATTCGAAAAAGTGGACATTTTCCAATGCCAGAACTTAAGCTGTCAATTTCATTCCCCAACCTGACATCAGATGGTCATATTGTGCTGTACCCAACAGGATGGTCATCTTCAGATGTAAGTCACGTGTGCCTTGGAATCATGCCATTACGTTATCTTTCTCACTTCATGTGTGAGTCTTTTATTCTGCATGCACTTGTGATGGTTTACCAAAGTAACATGGTCTTTTAGAAAACTTAAATAATAACTTCCTCCAGCATTTTGAAGATGCTTTAGTTCCCTAGGGATGCTCTAGCCCAATTACCACAAATTCTGGAGGCCAGAAGTCCAAAGTCAAAGTGTCAGTGGTGTTGGTCCCCTCTGGTAGCTCTAAGGGACATCCTGTTGCATGCCTCTTTCCTGGTTTCTGGTAGTTGCTGGCAATCCTTGGTTTCTTCTCACTTGCGGCAGCCTAGCTCCAACTTTCACCTCTGTCTTCTCATAGTCTCTTCTGTTTCTGTAGCTCTCATTTTATGTCTCCCTGTGTTTCTGCACACTCAATTATTGGATTGATTTCATTGAAGATCCTTCCATTTAATTACATCTGCAAAGAACCTGTTTCCCAATAAGGTTCCATTCACAGATTCTGGGAGTTAGAACCTGGGCATTTCTTTTGGGGGACACTACTTAATCCAGTAGAATGCATTTTAGATCATTAAATGTGGGTATATGCCTTATATGTTTATTGCACTTTTAATTTCTTTTAGGTGGTCAAACAATTGTAAAGAGCCTTCTTAATCATCCCTGATTAATAGACCAATATTCTTAACGTACTTACCCCCAACAACAGCAATATCATGTTCCCTTTTCACTTGAAGCATGGAATGAGACTTTGTAATAGTTAATTTTTATAGCTTAATGTCTAAAACATAGAAAAATCACAAAAAATATTGAATTAATGCATGCACGCTTTCAGCATTTGATAATTTGTCTTCTTTTCACACATTTTTAAAAATTAAAGTGTTAAAATGATTTGCTGAGGGCAGGGGAAAAATAAGCCAAAAAGCCCAAAAGGCAGGTTTTTGAGAAGTTGGAAAGAGAACCTTTATCCATATCACCTTTTTATCAAAAGATTTTGGAAGCAAATGGTTTATTAAATGTAAGCCTAGAGAAACAACCCAAGAATCATCTATCTTATAGAGCTGCCTACCTACGTCTTCCTCTCACAAAAACTAAGAGTCTTTTCTTTCATATATAAGAACTCAAAAACATTATTGCGTGAATACATAAATTCAGATGAGAGTTTCTTTTGAATGCTATTTCATAAGCCATCTCATGAGCTTTTACTGAAGAGCAGTGCTAACCCTCTTTCTATTCTCAGTAGTCTGAAATTTTTCTTGCTGTCTGTGTTACAGGAATTTACAAGCTAATTTCTGGTTTAAATAATAAGCTGAAGAGTGTACTGTTTGTGCAATAGTAAATTTTGCCAGCATCCTTTCCTTTCCATAACAACCTCACCGAGTTCGTTACAAAGTGAAAGTGCAGACCAGTAATTACCTGCGGGTCAGTGTATAGAGCCAGTTCATAAGAGCCTCTTCCATCCTGCTGCTTAACCACGATGGACCTTTAATGTGTGTCAGTGGCTGTCATTCACAGATTCTTCAAATTACTGCATAACTAGGACATTTCCCTCTGAAATTCGGCACTATGTGATAAAAGAATTGTTTTCATTTCCTAGAACGCACACTGCGAACCCCATAGTCTTGAGGATCCTCTTGGAATCATCTCTGGAAAGACGATTAAATCAAAATCTGATGATCTCAAACGAGGCACAATTCTGGTAAATTAAGTCAAGTGCTTTCTTTTCTTAATGTTTATTTAGTTATTTGAAAGTGAGAGTTACACAGATACAGGAGGAGACCGAGAAAGAGGGGGATCTTCCACCCGATAGTTCACTCCCCAGATGGCAGCAATAGCTAGTGCTGGATGCCCCCAGATGGCTGGAGCCAGTAGTTTCTCCAGGTCTCCCACGTGGGTAGCAGAGGACCAAACACTTGGGCCACCTTCCACTGCTTTTCGCAGGCCATTAGTAGGGAGCTGGAATGGAAATGGAGCAGATGGGACTCTAACAGGCACCCATACAGGATGCTGCCACTGCAAGCACACAACATTGGCCCTCAAGTGCTGTTTTTCTAATATGCTTTCCAAATGAATAAATTCAGGGTCAGCCTAGAAAAAACTATTTGAATTGTTGTAATATAGTACTTTGTATAAAATAGCAAGAATACTGATATGCACCTGTGGACATTTCAACAGGACTGCAGCACATGTAAATTTGCTACCATCACGTGTAATCTCATTCCTTCAGACATGAGCCAAGTGAATGTATCACTAATCTTGTGGAGACCGACTTTTATAAAAGTAAGTGAAGGCATTTCTTTGTACAATTATTGAAACAAAATGACAAAATGTTGTTCACTACTTATGACATATGTGCTACGCACAGTGCTTCTATGGACAGGACATGAGGACATCACAGACTGCTCTAGCTCTCCTTAACCAGCTATGTGGTGGTCTCATCTTTCCTATTAATAGCCATGTTATCTTCAATGCTTCCTTCCAGTTAGGCCTTCAGTCTCTCATTGTTTCTCTTTGAACCATAAGAGATAGATACCTCTCAAGAACCAAAGCTTGTACTTATTGTTCAAAGAATTACAAGAATTACCATCCTTAACACCACTAACAAAGGAGAGAACCAGCATGTGTATGGCCTCACGGTGTTTTTAGCAGACTTTTGTTCTCTACAAGTATTTTGGAGTGCATTTTCCAACCCGATAAAGCCAAATCTGTCTGACAATAAGCTACTTTAAAACTTTGTTTTGGATTGTGTCTTTTTCTTATCAAGTATTTAGCTGATCATATGAAATAGTCATTTTAAGTTTGATCACACTAAGTTGTTGTTTTCATAAGTAATAAACTATTGAATATTGGCAAGACCCTACTTAATCTTCAACAGGTGCTTTTATAAACCTCATTATCAGAGTGCAGCTACTTGGTGCCTGCATTAATGGTAGACAGAGTTTGAGGTTTGCTCTAAGTACCAAGTTGGATAGAAATTATTCAGAAAAAGTTTCCATTCTATAACAAGGATCTAAATGAGAATTGGAGGGGAGGGCAGAAAAAGAGTGAAGATAAGTACATTTTGATACTACCAGGTCCACTTGGAAGTTAACAAAGCCAGTGTTTTAATCTCACAGAGCTTTAGTGGTTGCACCAGACAAACATGGCTGGCTGTCATTTTTATTAGCCATAATATATTAAAAACAAATCCGTTTATTTTCCAGGCACATTTTTCCAGCTTAAACCTTACCATAAGGGGAGAACTTCAGAGTGAAAATACATCACTGGTTTTAAGTAGTAGCAATCAAAAAAGAGAGGTAAGTGAAGCTCTAAGTTTTGAAAACATGCACTTCACTGTGACTTTTGTGACATAATGTTTTATAATTGCGTACAGTCCTTTAAGCAGTGACTGGTGCTGCTCCTGGTGACAGATACTACTTGCTTCAAATTATACTTCATTAGCCTCGAGTGCAATTTCAGTCTTGTTCTTCCTTGTAAGCAACTTGGAAAAATCACGATATTTACAATTAGCATGCCATGTTTGACTTTTATCTCTTCTAACTATCACAGTAAATAGGTGTTTTTACTTTCACCTTTAGAGCAAACGGTGCGCTTGTAACTTTCCTGCTGAAAAACTGACATCACAAAATGCAGCTGACATCTGAAGAGCAAACTTGAAAAACAGTTTCTTTACACAAAATGGCTTTATATTGTATAGGCATATGTGTAAATTCTTTACATTTTTCTTGATTTAGTCATTAGGAAATTTGAAACAAAAATGAGCTAATATTCCCCCAAAACAATGCAGGCTTGAGTCTTTGCTGAAAATAAAATCGTTTGAGGAGTTTTTTTGTTTTATTTTATTTTGTTTTTTACTTTTGTGCTTTTGTAAAATAAGAACAAAGCATTTGTTATGGACACAGACACTTCAGCATAATCTCCCCTCTTGTCATGGAAGAGTTTGAAAACCCCATGTTGGGGGTCAGACTTTTGATGCAGTGTTTAAGCTGCAGGTTGGAACAGCTGCATCCCATGCCCAAATACCTAGGTTTGTTCCAGTCCTAGTTCTGCCTCTGATTTCAGCTTCCTACTAATATGTGTCATTGGAGGCAATAGCTAAGGACCGAAGTACTTTGGCTCCTAACCCCCATATGAGAAACCCAGATTGAGTTCCAGGCTCCTGGCTTTGGCCAGCCCCAGCCCTACCTGTTGCAGTATCTGGAAGATCTCTCTCCCTCCTTCCACCCTCCCTGTCCTTCTGCCTTTCAAATTAAGAAAAATACATACATAAACATCCCAGATGAATAAACCGCATCATGAGAATCATAATATTCTATCTGCAAACTCCCTAATGTTCAGATAGCCTTTAAAAATTGCTATTTCAAACAACTGCAGTGACATTGATGTCTGATAAATATGTTTTTAAAGAACAAATAAAATATAAAAGAGACCTTCAGAAAGCTCATGGAAAATATGTAACATGAAAAACAAAACTGTATGGATTTCAAAATGCTTTTGCACCAAAATAAACTTACCTTTTAATTCCATGTGTTTACAACTTCTTTGGAGTACTCTCATATGCACAGAATTTTTTAAAGATTCATTTATTTATATATTTATGTATGCATGTATGTATTTGAAAGGTAGGGCATGAGAAAGAGGAAGATCTCTGATCTACTTATTTACTCCCCAAATATCTATATCAGCCATGTCTGGGATCAGATAAAAGCCAGGAGCCAGACAGTCCATCCTGGTCTCCCAAATGAGTGGCAGGGCCCAACTACTTGGACCATCTTCTGCCTTCCCCGGCACCAAAGCTGGAAGCTGGATCAGAAGTGGAGTGGTATGGGACCAGCACGGTGACGCAGCAGGTTAAAGCCCTGGCCTGCAGCACCAGCATCCCATATGGGCGCAGGTTCAGGTTCTGGCCGCTCCATTTCTGATCCAGCTCTCTGCTATGGTCTGGGAAAGCACTGAAAGATGGCCCAAGTCCGCGGACCCCTGCACCCATGTGGGAGACCCAGAGGAAGCTCCTGGCTCCTGGCTTCACATCAGCTCAGCTCTGGCTGTTGCAGTCATTTGGGGAGTGAACCAGAGGATGGAAGACCTCTCTCTCTCTCTCTGTCTCTCTGTCTCTCTCTCTCCCCCCTCACCCCTCCCTCTCTTCCTCTCTCCCTCTCTCCCTCTCTCCAACTCTGCCTTTCAAATAAATAAAATAGATCTTTAAAAAAAAAGTGGAGTGGCAAGGACTGAAACAAGCACTTCAGTATGGGATTCTGGTGTCACAAGAGGCAGCTTAACCCGCTGCACCACAGCGCGAGCCCCTGCATGTGTTCACTTACTTCAGAGTACCCAGCCTGATCAGCGTGCAACATAAAGTTGTTCCATACACAGAAAAGTCAATGATTCCTTCAAACCTAAAAAAACTGAGTGTGGATTATATTGGAAAAAGTGTATTTGATTCCCAGATACGTTATGTTTAAATGTTACAATTAGCTCCATTTCCCATAAATGTTATTTTAATAGTCCCTTGCGAATATTTGTGCTACATTTCATCCTAAAGGAAAATCATATATATATTGATAAAATTACTAATAATGACCATTTTGTAATTGTATGATCTTACAAAATTTTCCAATCCTATCTAGACCGCAATTTCTGTAAGTTCATGGAATTGTTTTAGACATGATTCAAATCTGTTCTAATGGTCTGATTCTGTATAATCCCACACTGTCTTCAGCTCTGTATTTTCCACATATCAGCTTGATCTACCTGGAGTGATTTCACGGGTTTATATTTGTGTTCACTATATGCAAATACAAGTATACCTCAAAAAGTTCAGGAAACATGAAATTAAGTGAGTTTATTTGGGTGCAAAAAAATAGAAATCCATGTATAAATTTTCATAATATCTATTTTATGAATTTTTGAAGACCCATCATATATATGGATTTCCAAAAACATTTTCGCACAAAATAAACTGACCTTTTAATTTCATTTGCTATGAACTTGTTGAACTACTCACATGCCTGCTCTCTGAGTTTCCTGTTCTAATCTTCCCTATAGGTTAAGAAATTGAAATTTCTTACTCAGTAAAAGGCAAAAATAGAACTTTGAGCCATAGATAGCAACTCTGAAGTAGTTTCTTTTTTTCAGATACCCAAGGGCTGGGCCACAGATCAGACAAGTTTCATTGAGGTTTGAGCGCCACACAGAGAGCTTGAGTAGCCGAGTGCTAAAAGCTGTCCGTTTCTCAGTTGCATTTCAGTTCAGACCTAATTGCTAGGTGCTGAGAGAAAAGTCAATTGGAAGAAACCATGTGGTACTATAAAAAAAGCACAGAGTGGTGAATATTCATGCAAATAGTCATTTATCTGTATTCTTGAAACTTATGCATTTGCTTGTATAACAATTATATTTTCAGTTTATAAACAACAAATAAGGTACATTAGAACAAGGAGACCTACTCAAGGTTTTATGTGAGCAACTGTGATATTATATCCTAAACTGATGGTATCATGATAATGTAGTGAAGTCTGTTAATTAATTTTTGAAACATAAAATACTTTGGATCTCCCTGAGTTACACAGATTCAATCCTACTCTTGAGTGTTTGGATTCACTGACATTTTGCTCTTGATGTATATATTTCTGAAGGATAAGGCTATAAATACTTTATTGGTAATGATAAATTTGAAATGATCAGAGATTTAGAAAAGAAGAGGGGCATTTTCAATTGCGAGCTCTGTGTTTTGTCTGTCTGTGGTATAGAGATTGTTTCTACTATTTGTTAGAAAATTATGACCTGCAAAAACTGAATGTCCCACGAGTTCTGGTTGGGTGCTTATTGATGTTGACAATCGTGTTTAATAATTTTCAGCTTGCGATTCAAATCTCCAAAGATGGGCTACCAGGCAGAGTGCCCTTGTGGGTTATCCTGTTGAGTGCTTTTGCTGGATTACTGCTGTTAATGCTGCTCATATTAGCACTGTGGAAGGTAAGCACCAGAAGTTGTCTATTTCAAACATGAAGAGCACATTGATAAAATAAATTATGATTTGCCCAAGCTGTGAAGCATATTATTATACAGCAATGAAATGAATACTGAGTGATGACCAAGAGGAAAAGGAAGTGTTCATTTCCAATGCTGTGCACAGCTTGACCCCATTTTTGTAAAGGGGAAAAAAGTAACCTATCTTGGGGTGAATATATCCAAAATTGAGGGAGGACCTTTCTAAAGATGAATGTTATATGGGGCCAGCTCTGTGGCATAGCAGATAAAACTGCCACCTGCCTGCCAGTATCCCATATGGACACTTGTTTGAGTCTCGGCTGCTCCACTTTCCGATCCAGTTCCCTGCTGATGTGACTAGGAAAGCAGCAGAAGATGGCCCAAGTCCTTGGGCCCCTACACCCACATGGGAGACCTGGAACAAGCTTTAGGCTCCTGGCTTCAGATCAGCCCAGCTCCAGCTGTTGCCACCATTTGGGGGGTGAACCAACAGATGGGAGATATTCTCTCTCTCTCTCTCCCTCTGCCTCTCTGTAATTCTGCTTTCAAATACATGGATAAATCTTTTAAAAAAATGACCATTACAGAGGACAATGACATTTTAAAATTTCAAAATAGCTAGATATTACTTTTATAAGAAAAGAAAACTAAATACTTTTTTATAAAAAGATGGATTTTCTTTATTTGAAAAGCAAAGTTACAGAGAGAAACAGATCTTCCATCTACTGGTTTACTTCCCAAATGGCTTCAAGAGTCGGGGCTGGGCCAGGCCAAAGGTAGGAACCTGGAACAACATCCACGTCTCCCACATGGGTGCAGGGGTCCAAGTACTTGAACCATCTTCTGCTGCCTTCTCAGGCACATTAGCAGAAGTGGAATAGCAAGGACATAAACCAGTACTCATATAGGAGGCCACCGTTGTAGGCAGCAGCTTAACTCACTGCACCATGTCAGCCTCATAAAAACTTTTTATAGTAAAAAAGAATTACTATGTGTCAGTTTAAAAAATATAAGCCGTACACTCATGGTTAAGATAAATCTTGTCCTAATCCCATCTAAGTGCATCTTAGAAATCAAATACCTCTTTTACATATGAACAGACATACCACCTTTTATTCAATAGTTGTGCACTGATAGAGAGATGAGGGATTTACTAATTAGTTGATATAAGGGAAATCTTAAAGTTTCAGACTCCTATTTCAAATACTTTTATAAAATTATGAAATTTTCTACTTTCTGTTGAGTACATCTGAATATTTACATGGATGCTTTGCTTAGGCCTAGATATGCCATATTATTTTCCAATAAATTGAGAGGATAGCTTTTAGTATACATTCAACAGAGCATAAAATCTCATTAAAGGGCCGGCGCCGCGGCTCGCTAGGCTAATCCTCCCCCTTGCGGGAGGTTCTAGACCTTTCTCTCTGTCTCTCTCTCTCACTGTCCACTCTGCCTATCAAAAAAAAAACTCATTAAAAAGTATAATTTAATTTTTCCAATTAAAAATCAAATTGGCATTTATTCTCACTGTGTCTTATGTGGTGTTAAGTTGAACCAACTGTGTCAGAAACATCTTGTTCCAGCATATTTATTTTTCTAATACCTTGGCAACACATGATTTAGTCAAATAGTTTAAACACCAAGTTTCTGTTCTTCTGAATTACCAACTGTTCCTATTCTTTTTTTCTGTGATGACTAACTTCCTCTTTCAGATGGTTACTCTTAGAGAAGATGAACAAAGCCATGTTAAACTCGTAGTTCCATGGCACTTAATTCAGTAAAATTCTTGACATTTTTGCAGCAAAGTCACCCTGACAGACCGAATTCTCCACATCAAATGTCTAGCAGTTCCTTCTGTATGTTACAGTGCTAGCGCTGCAGTACCCGAATTTGCCACACTGTGGTGCTCAAGGTCTGGCTCGGCAGGGCCAATGTTGTGCTTGAAATGTAAGATGTGCGCCTCTAAGCAGAGGGAGTTACTTGAAGCTTCCTTCAGTGTGGTCTTTTATTCCTACCGTCGTATCGGACCCTCGCACTTGCCCATATAGTTTAAGGACACGACTGACAGAAGAGGAAAACCAGGACTGATATCTGCAGATGTTCCCTGGCCTCGGCTGTGTTTAAGACTAACAAACAGCAAGTTTCAGCCACCTTGATTTTTCGGGGGAGGTCACTAGTCTCAAAGATCACAAATGTAAAAATAAACACATTTGTCCATCATCCAGTTAGTGTTGTGGTGATACATAGTGCTGATGGCTCCCTACATCTCCTTAGGACCCCAAAGAAGGTCACTTAGCAAACCCTGGACTGTTTTGACCTGAAGGTTTAGTAAATTCAGCCACTCCCGTGGGAAGCCCAGATCGGTAGTCCCAAGGCAGGAGGGAAGAGAACTTGCTCTCACTGAGTGTTTCCCCTACACCAGGAACTGTTCTCAGTGTTTCTGTCTTCAGCATTCCCCCCTTAATACATCAACCCCGTGAGGGTTTCCTCATAAATGAGGAAAATAAGGCACAAAAAATTTTGTGTAGTTTTCTTTTTTTTTTTATTGACAGGCAGAGTGGACAGTGGGAGAGAGACAGAGAGAAAGGTCTTCCTTTTGCCGTTGGTTCACCCTCCAATGGCCGCCGCGGCCTGCACGCTGCGGCCGGCGCACCGCGCTGATCCAATGGCAGGAGACAGGTGCTTATCCTGGTCTCCCATGGGGTGCAGGGCCCAAGCACCTGGGCCATCCTCCACTGCACTCCCTGGCCACAGCAGAGAGCTGGCCTGGAAGAGGGGCAACCGGGACAGAATCCGGCGCCCCGACTGGGACTAGTACCCGGTGTGCCGGCACCGCAAGGCGGAGGATTAGCCTAGTGAGCCGCGGTGCTGGGCAATTAAGTGTAGTTTTCAAGACCCATAGTTAGTAAGGTTCTGATTAACAATATAGACCTCTGCCACTCTGCTGTCCTCGGGCAATCTTTCAACCACGTATTTGAGCCTCATCTTATACCTGAGAACATTAAAGCAGAGAGGTTAATTCTCCCGTGATCACCAGCAAGAATGACTGGTTTCAAGCAATGGTCAATGTGGAAAGCCTACTGCTCTCCAGTAAATCTACCTGCTGCAGGTTCTAGAGCTCAAGAAATCAGGTCTTGTTCAAGAGGGCTGTGAACTCTCCAAAACTTCCAAAACTGTTCAGTTCTGGAATGAGGGCCCGGGTGGGTCAGGCTCTCAGGAGCTTCAATGCACTAAGCAGCTTAGTTCCTCCTCTCCCCATGCAGTAAAGCTTTGCAGGGACCTCCCTGAAGCGTGGTTCGGTCTGCGTGCAGTAGGCTCAGAAGAGCTGCTCTCCTCAGCAGGCAACTTATAGGAACACGACCTAGAGCAGACACTTCCTGCTTCTCAGATCCTTCCAGTCTGGAAGTTCCTTGGGACTCCGTACTGAGACCCTCTGTAAGGAACAGACCAAAGATTCCTACTAGATCAGATATTCACTTTCAAAAGACAAAGTGCTTGTATATTTATCTTCACTGTACACATGACAGAAATTAAAGCTGGACAAAAATCTTAGCAGTTTCTTAATATACTTCCTGATTGATTGCAGGAGAATTCTAGAGGACAAAGATTTAAGTAAATTGCTAAATGTGACCTGAAATAGGGACCACATGCTGAGGGAGACACGCAGTCAGGCCAGTGTAACCACCTGGGCGAATGACACAGTACACGGAGGAACCACGAGAAGGTGGACTGTGCCTCTCCAAACTTGATGTGATGCTGATGCCTGAAGTTCCACCGCTGATGGTTTTTCTGTTCATACTTCAGGTTTAGCTTTGTTCCCCATCCAATGTGCACATCCTTGCTGGAGATGGGATGGTGGTGGATGCAGAACTGCTCACCGCATTTTTAGCCTTTTATACATCAGCATGATGTATTTTATACATTAGTATGAGTTTTATACATCAGTATGAATTTATTCTGTCCACATTTATTCAGTCCAAACTGCATTCATTAAGCATTTACTTTTTCCAGAGATAGTTTAGTCAGACCTTTTGCCATAAGAGTTTGTTTCTTTTTTTAACTATTACTTATGTTATTTATTTGAGAGATGGCAGAGGGCTGGGAAGAGTGAGAACAAGAGCAAGAGTGAGTTCCCACCTGCTGGTTCACTCCCCAAATGCTTGCAACAGCCACAGCTGGGCCAGGCCAAAGTCAATCAGGAACTCAGACCAGCTCTCCCATGTGGGTGACAGGAACCCAACTATTTGAACCATCACCTGCTATCTCCCAGGGGGCACAAGAGCAGGAAACTGGAAGCAAGAGTGGACCCAGGACTTAAACCCATGTGTTATGATGTAGGACGCAGGTAACTCAATCCGCATCTTAACCCCTAGAGGAATACAAAAATGATCATTAGACAAATACAAGATAAACACAAGGAAAGGGACTGCTATAAGGAAAGTGTAGGTGCTGAGAACAAATTTTCTCTGTTTCAACTAGGACTGGCCCAGTCTGAAGCTATAAACTATATTGTCCTAATCTCCATTCCAATCATCCAGCTGCCATTAAAAACCCAATATGAACAAAATTGGCCCAGTAAGTTTAGAAAACAGAAGTTAAGTTTTAAAATAGAACATTTAATGTGTAGAAGCAGAGGAAGTTTGAACAGAAGCAAAAAGACGCGAGAGAGAGAAAGGAGAGGTTGAAAGCTAGGAAGAGCAGATAGAGAAGAGAGCCTTAAGATATGCTACCTGCTCTTGTAAAGCCACGACTGATTTACTCTCACTGGGGACGTGCAGGCTCACTTTAAAGGAACATATGGTTTGTGCATCCAAAACTATTATAGTTGGCTCGAAGAAAAGGGCCTGAGACAAGTAGGAGAACTGGCAGATTCAGTTATTTTCACATTCACTTCTGTCGTGTCCTTTTCCTCATCTACCAGTCACAGACTAGATTCTGCCCTGGTGGAAGACGAAAGCCCTGAGTAAAACTTCGCTAAGCGTAAAAGTGCTCACTGTCTCCCTCTATCCCATTAAGGCCCTCAATTTTCCAATAATTATGTGTTAAACATAATACTTCCTTTGCATAATTTATCATGACTTCATTATTAAAATATTGCCTTTACTAGATCTGTTATAGCCCAGTCTCAATTTAAAACATACAGAGAGAGAGACAAATACAAAAATCTGAAAAACCACTTCTCAATGATCTCTAATTTACTTTCTTAAAAAAAAAAAAAAGGTATTTTGGGGCCTGCGCTGTGTCACAGTGGGTTAAAGGCCCAGCCTGTGATGCCAGCATCCCATATGGGCGCTGGTTCGAGTCCTGGCTATTCCACTTCCAATCCAGCTCCCTAATAATGTGCCTAAGAAGGCAGCAGAGGATGGCCCAAGTCCTTGGGCCCTCACACTCATGTGGGAGACATGGAAGAAGCTCCTGGCTCTTGGCTTCTCTTGGCTTTAGATTGGCTTAACTCCAGATATTTCTGCCATTTGGGGAGTGAACCAGCAGGTGGAAGACTTCTCTGCCTCTACCTCTCTCTGTAACTTTTAAATAAATAAAATAAATGTTTTTTTAAAATAAGCATTTTAGGGGCTGGCACTGTGGCTCATTTGGTTAATCCTCCGCCTGTGGCACCAGCATCCCGTATGGGCGCCAGTTCTAGTCCCAGTTGCTCCTCTTCCAGTCCAGCTCTCTGCTGCAGTCTAGGAAGGCAGTGGAGGGTGGCCCAAGTGCTTGGGTGCCTGTACCCGGGTGGGAGACCAGGAAGAATCACCTGGCTCCTGGCTTCTGATCGGGGCAGCACCGGCCGTAGCGGCCATTTGGGGAGTGAACCAATGGAAGGACGATCTTTCTCTCTGTCTCTCTCTCACTGTCTATAACTCTACTTGACAAATAAATATTTAAAAAAAAAAAAAAGCATTAGGTTAGATCATTGCAAAGGTTCCTTCTAGTCTATACTTTTTTTTTGTTCTTTATAATAGAAGATAAATAGAGCACAATAAACTTTTTATTAGGCCCCAGGTGACAAAGCATAATGAAATACGACTCATTCACCACCACATGAAATTTTAGAGCCAATTACCTGTCTTAGTGTCCAAATGACACAGGGTGTGTTCCAAAGTTCTTCAGGGCCCTCATTGTGGCATAGCAGATTAAACCACTGACATCTCATATGGGTATCTGTTGGAGTCCCAGCTGCTCCACTTCCAACCCAGCTCCCTACTATTGCATGTGGGAAAGCAGTAGAAAAATGGCCCAAGCCCCTGCCCCTTCCCATGGGAGACTTGGAAGAAGCTCCTGGCTCTTGGCTTCAGCCTGGCCCAGTACCAGATGATGTGGTCATTTGGGAAGTGGGCCAGGGGATGGAACCTCTCTCTCTCTCTCTCTCTCTCTCCCCTCCCTCTCTCTCTCTCTCTGTAACTCTGCCTTTGAAAAAAAAAAAAAAAACAAATAAATAAATCTTAAAAAAAGGGGGCACCTTCTTCATAAGCAGGTGTTCTGACACATTTGAAGCTGTTCCAGACAACTCAGAAATCTTCCCAACATCCTGGCCAAGGATGTAACTGCCACAGTCCCTATCAGCTCCAATAACCATCAGCTATTTGGAAGAATCTCTCTGCCACATCAATGGGAAAAAAAAAAAAAAAATGATGCTGGCAAAGAAGAGATAGTGCCAGCTAACTGCAGTTTGTATGTCTCTCAAAATATTTTTGCAGACCCTCTAAATGTTCTTTGTTCACAAGAGGGCTTTCTATATCTAACTAATGAAAAGGTGAAAAATGGAATAGAAACTTGAACGTCATTTTCTTGACATCCCACATTAATAGGTTAATGAAGAAGATAGTTCTCAACCATATTAATTAGTTTGATGCCTAGAATTGCCAGTAGATTTAAATTAAATTTTTGTCCAAAGAAGGAAGCATTTTTTACCTAAATCAAAATAATTCACTGTATTATGTTTTATACTTTCTCAACAGATTGGATTCTTCAAAAGACCACTAAAGAAGAAAATGGAGAAATGAAACATTATACAAGAGAAAAAAATAGCAATTATTCAATGATCTATCCTCAGGTTTGCCTTAAATATGTGACAAAAAATTTATAAACATAATTAAAAACATGGTCACATAATTCTATATAATCCATCAGGGACTTATCACTTGGAAAATGACAGATCAAGCTGATCCAAAAAGATATCCAAAGATATGTTTTATAAACTGATGAAAAATATTTTAAATAATTATTCATTTTTACTGAGTATTTAAACAGTGTTACAAAGTGTTTTAAAGAAGAATAACTTATGCATCTAAAATATTTAAGGAATAGATAAGAATTTTTAAGATCGTTGAAACATCTACTTTCAAAATAATATAAATTAAGCTTTTCCCTTGATTTCTGATGGATATGCATGTCCAGCATGAAAGCATTTGTAATGCTAAGCAAGGAATTATCTAAAAGATGTCACTTCTTCCAGTTCTAATGAGAAAAGTTCCCCCTAGTAGAGTCTGTCTACCACATGGACTAAAAATAGAATTAAATCACAAAGAATACATTCAACATCTTCGTGTTGGATTCTGTACTTGGAAAAAAATTTTTCCAATGTGATCAGAAAGTAATGCAATCGATCTGAAATTCTACCTAGGGTAGAAACTCAAGACAGACGCCTTATTTAAAAACAAGTATACTGAATGGATTAAGTTTTTATAAAACATGTTTATTTTGATGTTGAACTCTAAATGCAAAACTCTTTTATACTGAAAAAGAAAAACCACTTTAAAGCAGTTTTGTGTGGCACAGTTTCGTGATTTATCATGAAAAGCCACATTGTGTGGGGGATATGCTGAAATGATAGCTGAATGGAATGTGGCGGCAGAGACAATTGCTACTGAATGCTGAAATCATCTTTGCTGAGCAGATTTTGCATGGTAGAGGTTTCATGATGTAAATCAAAATAGGAGTCTTCTCAACTCCTTGGTACAGGTTCATTTAAACCCCCAAGCTGTGAGATTATGCTTATTTTTTTCATTTTTAAAGATATATTTAATTTTCCAAACACATTTCTTGTTTTTATTAAAAGGCATATTCCATTCCAGTATTGCATTTTCCCAAGAAGTCACTGCTTCTTTGAGTGTAGCAGAGCAATATTTATACAGAAGCCCAGAAATGTGCCGAAAACAACTTCAGGTTTGAAAGATCCCACCAAGAGAACAGTATCTCACCTCTGCGTGTGCTTCTTTGTTCTTGAAGTAATCCTTGAGGTTGATTAGATTCTACTGTAACATAAGCTCCCGGTTGTGCCATTTCTTAGGAAAGTAACTGAATGAATGTAGAGTAGCTAGCTGCACTGGTGAACTACTGCTGTAAAATTTGCTGATACTTCTGCAACAACTCCCATTTCTCCTCTTGATTTGCCATTCTAGTACCCGAACCTGTAGTTATCCACAAAGTCCCAGGATCTGCTTTTCTCAAAAAGCAGCCAACTAACACTGAAATCAATGCTGTTGATTTAACTTTTTAAGGCTATTTTCCAAGGAATTCTCTGATGTCTCAGAGTCAGCTACCTCTTGGCTCTGCACACCTACATCTAGAATCCAGAAGGCCAAGTCGATGTGCCTGGGGGATGCCAAGTTATCCGTAGCTAGAAGAAGCGTTCATCTTTTTAGAGATCTGGTATCCTCCTGCTGCCTGTCCTTGTTCACAAATAGCTGCTTTTGGAATTTGCTTCACTCTTGCCATCCATCCGCAGATTCAGAAATCGTTCTTCCCGCCTCGTGTCTTTGTTTTTCAACAAAACTCAGGGTCTGTCTGATTCAGAGTCGGCGCGTTGTACAACCCTGCTGCACAGACTGCCCAGCAGCCCTCTCCCTTCTCAGCACATTCTTAGAAGTAAATCGAACAGATAAATTTAAATTCATACTTGGCATCTGTGACTGCCACACAAAGCAGTCACTGAACCATGAGTGTGAAGATTCAAACTAAATACTTTGTTAAGCCAAAGAGGAAAAATAGAAATTAGGGCATGTTGACCTTTTTAGAAAAGAGAGGAGTCGCTATCTGGCTGGACCAAATAGCTATTTATAAACCTGGCACCATTTTTAACATAGGTCATTCCTGGTTACCAAGTAGAATATTTAATGAACAAGAGACCCCATTTTCATGTTTATGATTTGTAGGGATTTATGGGTCTGTATGTATGTTCATATATGCACACACAATAACACCAAATAATAGAGTTTACAAAAACTAAACAAACAAAAACTACATCAGGAAAAAATGTTGATTCATCTACTTTTCATATAGTTTTCATTTTAATTGATGTTTAGGTTTAGCTTACAATTCTTCAACTACCTAAAAACCATAACTGCAGTTTTGGTTAAAAAACATGTCAACAGATGTCCCAGATTAGCTTCTGCACAAATGTTATAAAACATATACAATGATTAAGAGATATGTTAGACGCTTGTTTTATTTTTAAATGATTAATAAGGAAAGTGGATGATATTTAAGACTATTATGAGCTTGTTGCTAAATTAAATTATCAAACTATTTCTTGTTCTTTAGTATTTAAAAAATTGATTATTGCTTGCATTGTGAAATGAACAATGTATTCAGTCCCTTTACATTCGTATATTGGCAAATTATTTAATGACTTGCTCTCTGGGGGAAATAATCTCTAGTGTGTATTATTTATCAATTTCCATGGTTAAAATAGTATCTCTGTAGCCATTCTCAAGTTACCAGCATGACCCTAACCAGCTTGCAGAACTCCTAGAAATGTATTGGTCAGCTCTTAGAAACAATATGAACTGGCTTCAGCTATTACTGAAATAAGTCACATGCTGGGGATGGATGGATAGATAGATAGATAGATAGATAGTCTATATACATACACAGAAACACAGAGCATTATAATATTCCAAATTATGTGGAAATGCTAATTATTCAAGCCAGGTAGGCATGACACTGTATAATTCCCCATTATTCAGTTTCAATTCTAAAATTTTAACCGTCCTTTAATACTAATAAAATGAGAAGAACTTGCGTAAGAAGAAACGAGTTGAAAACAAGAAAATACAAAAGGTGACCCACAGTGGAAATCAGACCTACTCAGGAACCACAAAGAAGCTGTTTCACTTTCTCAAGGCCCCACAAGCAGCACAGTAAAAGGTCATCCTTTGTAAATAGCTTTAACTTCTGTGATCCAATTTAAAATGCAGTGATCCACTTTGTAAAACTTTTTTCTTCTGAACACTAGATTCGAGGGCAGTTGAGTCTCTGAACATTTTCTCTGTATTAACTGTGTTTGAAAGGAGTCTTACGGAAAGAGATACTTTTACAAATTTTGGCACTTAAGCAGCCATTTTATTTATAAATGTATATATATGCTCACATGATATAAATGTCCTTTCCACTTTCTATAAAACTGTAGGCTTAATTGGAAAACAGCAATATTTGCACCAAAAGGAAAAAAAATTTAAAGAACAGTTGCATTGAGATGGAGCAGAGGTGGCTGGTAGTAGAGGCTGTGAGACACTCTGCCCGTTTTCTCTCTAGGGCCACAGTGTGCACACTGTGAACAGTGACCCCAACGGCTCCCCTGGAATGTGCTTTCCCCGGGGTGATGTCTTTGTCAAGCATCTTGTAATCTGCTCTGTGAACTGTCTGTCTCGCTTTTCAGAACACTGAGAACACTGGGCAAGCCTCGGGCCCACACACCCTGTCTCCCATGCCATCGGAAGTCACAGTATTGCCCAAATAAAGTGGCTTCCAGCAAATCAATTGTGAAAAAGTCTCTGATGCACTCTTCATTTATTTACAACACTTCCCAAACTCCCCGCAAGTAGTCTTCTCCCCAAGACAGCTTTTCAAGAATCCTAATGGGAAAAAAAAAAAAAATCTGTTGATAAAATGCAGGCTCTGTTTGCTACAAATACCAGCTTCAGTGAGTTGATCATGTATACAGGATGCATTCCTTGGTTCCCCAGTGGCTCTCTATAAGGTTGGCATGGCATAATGGAGCAGGGACAAAGTAAAACAGACCTTCGAGATGCAGCATCTTTAAGACCTTCACAGGCTGTGTAAACACTCCCAGTGACGGTGCCAGTGGGGAGGCTGGAGGGATTTGGCCCTTTGATGATTTTCCCCAAGTACTTCATAGGCCCCACCTTTACCCATGGAAATAATCTTTAAAAAAAAAAATGAAAAGAGAGGCTTTCAGGAAAACTAAAATGTATAATTTAATTATAAGCTGTAAGTAGACTTCGAAGTGCAAACACGGCTTCAGGGTGAGTCCTCTGGGCATCTCCTGTCAATCAAACTGCCATCCCTAAACCCCTCCTGTACAAAAATTCTGAAGCTGCCATGGAATAGAAACTCAACAGTGAAAAGAAACTCAGAACACATAAGACTAAATGCTGCCATTTTCCAAATGGTCCAATGTTACTATGTAGACAGTCACATTGATTTGGTAAGCAAATTAGTATTTTTGAATCTTACATTAAAATTTAACCTTGAATTTGGAAATTCAAAGTTACAGCCTTTAATCATCAACCTTGAGCCAAATGTAAAATGTTATATGCAGGATGTCAAACCCCAGCCCTGTTAATCCCTACAACATCTAGTATCCAGGAAGTCAGGTTACTAACTGTTGGGACTGAATCCTTGTGCTGCTATAAAGAGCCTGAACTGAACCCCTAATCCACCACTGTTTTCATGCTCCAAGGTCACCCCTCACATCAGATACACAGGAACTGACGTTTTAACAGTACTAAGAAATATCAAGGATGAGGCCTCCCTTCTAACTCTGGACTCCTTGCTTTGAGATCAGTTCTTTTAGTTTGTAATCCCCATATTTCACATATGGCAAAAGCTTTACCCGGTAGCTAATGAATTTAGAACTGTACACAAAGCTCCTTTCATTTTTCCACTGCCACTGGCTGGACAATCTCAATACTGTTAGGACTGGGCAGCACGAGCCAGTCAATTCGCAAGACCTATCTACCCTCCACTTTCTAGTTGGTTTCTTCTCTCCTCAATTGCACAGCAAAATGTCTGCTTTTTTGCATTTTATTTATTTGAGAAGCAGAGAGTTAGATAGACAGTCAGAATGTCGATCTGCTGGTTCATTCTAACTCCCAAGGTCTACATTAGTAGGAAGCTGGAGTGAGAAACCAGAGCTGGAAATCAGAACCAGGCACTCTGATTGATATGCAGCACGGATCTCAGTTGCCAGGGTAAATGCCCATTCTGGGTGTTTTGTTTTGATTTGGGGCCTCCTCAGCTATCTATGATTGAGTCTCTTGAAGGCCCTTGGATGGTAGATGTTATCTTTATAGGTGAGCAGAGACTCAGAAATCTTTTAATCTTATATGTCATCATAGGAATCAGGATAATAAACTAGGGACCAGTGACACTCTAAAAATATGATTTTATTTGGTTTTAATGCAATTCAAATCACATTCTTATTTAAGAAAAAAAAAACACTAGTGTGGAATTTTAAGTGCTTTTCTGCCATGTTCCTAAACTCAGTGTTTAATCTTTTGTTTCAATTTCATCTGTGCATAGAAAAGGACATTTCCCAAATGACAATAGAAACAAAGCCAGTTGTGCTGTTGAGTAATCCCCTATCGACATTACCTATCGCATTCCCTGAGAGAGTACATGGGAAAAACTGAAGGAGTAGCCAAGCAAAGGGGACACACCACCAGTGCCAGGTGACAATCTTTATGTCATGCCCCTGAAGCATCTTCTACAGAAAAAATGCAGGGGATGGGGGTGGGAGGTAATGAAACTATCTTTTATATCTACATCATTACACCACAAAATACTGTCAGCTGTCTCTCCTATAAGACAAGCACATGTACTTTGCACCAGGAAATTGTTAATTAAGTAAGAGCAAAAGTATATTCTTACATGCGGGTTAATCAGAGCTGATTTCCCTGAGCTTAACACACTATAGGCTTAACTCAATCACGTGAAGCAGCAACATCTCAGACCTTCTTTGTTCTGGAAACTTTGGACACGGAAGATCCAGATATTTAGTGTTTTATTTCTGAAACACCTCTTGGCCTTGCTCAGGATGCACGAGACACTCTGGGTTCTCTATTAGTGAACATTAGCCTGTAAAGAGAATAGTATGTTACTACTGTGAGGCTGTAAAATTATTCATTGACAGTGTAAAGAACTGTACCCATTTTTTTAAAAAAAAAGAAAAATATTGCATATAATAACTACTACACTGAAACAGCTATCATAGTTATTCCAATAAAATTTTCTGCGTGGACTAACATGAAGTATAATGCATTGCTCATTTTTATTTACCTCAAAATGGACTCATCAAAATGAATAACTTAAGGGTATATGCATTTCTAATAAGTCTTTTACTATTGGATGAGCTCTTTAAAAGAAAATGTTTGATTGCATTCAAGAACAAAGAAGCATGACCTTTGTTGACTCCGGTAATTTATCATGTGCCTAATTTAAATCCAGTTTTTAAGTGAAATCAGTTATCAGGTAAAAGTCAGTTAAGCTGATATAATTAGAAATAGCTGAGAGCGCAAAAGAGCATTTTGAATGTCCTAATGTGTGGCATATCCTGTACGCTGATTTGAGGTCAGAGACTTGGTATTTTTGTATAATTCTATCTTATCTTGTGCTTCAGCTGTGTATTTTACGTCAAGGCAAATGAACTTCCTGTCTTATATGTTAAATAAAAAAATGACTCAAGAACGTGACTGCTGTGATTTCAAATATCCACATTTTATCTCAAATTAATATGACTTCTTCCAAAGCTCTATTTTTTTTAGCTCCTTAGCTGGTTTTCACTTTAATGCTCTAAAAGGAGAAAAACAAAAAAAGCAAAGTAAGTCTGTCTGTGGTGTTTCCTGTACAAGATATAGCAATGTGATTAGTCTTGTGCAAACTTGAGACAAAAACCACAGAATCTATACGACTATATACATTCTCCTAATGATATGCTTTAATAAATCATTTATTAGATAATAGTAAGTTGGGTTATCTAGTGTGAGATACAAAAAAAAAGGTGCCACTAAATTAAAAAAAAAATTGCTATGTTCACTCTAGCTTAAAGAAATAAAATTAATACATTAGGGCTAGAAGAGAATACATGAAGTTTTAGTAGTAATAGCACTCATTTACCTTGTAAAACATTTCATCCTTTACAGAAGAGAAAGGCTGAGGATGAGGAGGCTCTTTGTAAGGTCTTCTACCTGATTTCCAGCAGAGCTTCTTCCAGTCTTGTCTTTTCTCTCTTACTGTGAAATAAGCGGTTTGCCTTTCCCTTCAGCCTTCTCCGGGAAGAGGATATGGTGGTGGTATTGAGAGAATGAGGGGCAGGCAGTGTGGCTCAGCAGATTGTGCTGCTACGTGGGATTGTGCTACTTGGGATTGTGCTACTCCCATACTGGAGTGCTAATTTGAGTTCTGGCTACTCCACTTCTAATCCCACTTCCTGATAATGTACACAAGGGAGCAGCAAATGATAGGTCAAATGCTTGGGCCCCCTGTAGTCCACATGGGAGACTCAGATGGAATTTCAGGCTCCTGACCTCCACCTGGCCTATCCCTTACTGTTGCAGGTTTTTGGGAAGTAAACCAGTAGATGGAAAAGTGTTCTCTCTCGCTCTTGCTCTTGTTCTCACTCTGCCTGACAAGTAGAGGAAGATACATAAATAAACATCTACTGAAAGATTTATTTAGTTATTTGAGAGACAAAGTTACAGAGAGAGGGAGAGACAGAGAGAGATCTTCTATCCACTGGTTCACTTCCCAAATGACCACAACAGCTGGAGCTGGGCCAGGCTGAAGCCAGGAGCCAAGAGTATTTTCCAGGTCTCCCACATGAGTGCAGGGGCCCAAGGACTTGGGCCATCTTCCGCTGCTTTCCCAGGCCATTAGCAGGGAGCTGGATCTGAAGTGAAGTAGCCAGGACTCAAACTGGCCCCCATATGGGATGCCAGTCCTGCAGGCAGAAGCTTAACCTCCTACACCACAGTGCCAGCCCCCATAAATAAATAAAGAAAAAGAATCTGAGTATACTATTCACTAGAAAAGAAATGACATACTTAAGGATTTATTTTTAAGACAAGAGCATAGGCACAGAATTTGCTTCCTTATTCTCCAAGATGACTTTATGTACTTTGACTATAAAATTAATGTGATAGTCATAGGCAAATGTCAGGAGGAATATTCACCCAACAGGAGCTATTCATTAGTTAAGAAGACTGGAGGTGATTTCTCTTCTCTTATTTGTATTATTTGAATGAATGCCACTTTTTAAATGGGGGAAAAAGCCACTTAAAAGGGAGATAACATGCACATGGAGAAAATTTGAGAAAATGCTAAAAAGATAATTTTGGAAGTCATCATAACAGCACCAAAAATTGCATGCTTGAAATCACAAAGAATATGGGACTTGTGGGGAGCAACTCGGACTAGACTGAGTTACTGGAATTAAGACTTATTCTATGCATCTGCTCTCCCACAATATGGCACAGGGAGAGGAGTAAACAGCTTCTACACAGCTGCCTCTCGCCAACTTGAGTGATGACCTGCAGGAGCTGATCCTGCTCCTGATTGGAGGAGAGCAGCGTACTTGGCATGTGGGTAGCAGAGTTGGGATTGGTGGAAGAGGACTATAAAGGAGGAGAGAGACAACATGCACCAGGAACATCTATCTGAAGGAACACCTGTGCAGCCCCCGAGAGAGCCGGCCGGCGGTGTGCCGCTCCCCCGCGGAAGTGGGGAAAGTGGCAGGGGGCACTGCCCTTCCACGGAGGTGGAAGGGATGGTAGCCAACCCGGGAAGAACCAGCAGCAAACCCGGGGAGGGCCGAGCAGACGAAAGAACAGCGCAGGGTCCTGTGTCGTTCCTCCGTGAAGAGGGGGAACGACAGGACTCTCTGCTTTTCTTAATGAAATAATATATTTCTTAGTTTTTCTTTAATGGCCAAAGGCTGATAGTCACTAAGTACTTTCCATTGTTCTGAATCGGACAGTAAGGAAGAACATTACTCACTCCCACTCATTGTCCCTCTTCATGCCAATAACCACTATGTATACATACCATACTGGAATCCTCCATCTCCACATGTCTAATAACTATTTCTTTACCCACTTCTTCAACCACATAGTAGTGAGAGAAATATGGGAAAGATAATCTCACTAAGAGTAACAGCAAATGTGGCCCTGATTATCCTGCAAAACCAATTGGAATGTTTTATTAATAATCCAAAGGAGTGAATTTTTGCCAGGAAAAAAACACTTGGCAACATTACATTGCCAGCATTAACAGAATGAGAACAGTGAAAGAGGAACAGAGGAACAAATGAAATAGTAGATATATAGAGAACAAATAACAATATGACAAATGTAGCTCTGTCTCCATCAATAATTATATTTAAAAGTGAAAAACACTTTTGATGGAAAAATATGAAAAGCATATATCATGCAAACAGTAACCATAAGAGAACTGGAGTGGCTGCATCAATGTCAAACAAAATCAACCTTAAGATGAGTACAATTCCAAGCTTGGGAAGATTCTGATCTTTTGCGGGAGACAGAGGCCCCTGGACTTCCACCAACCATATAGAAATTCTACAGTTTCTCTAAGGTCAACGTTAATGTCCTCAAGATTCTCAAGGTTTTATTAGCAATGAAATGAAACTTGAACTAAGGCCTAATCTGTGGAGTCACCTCACTGAACCTGCAGTTCAACATTGATGTGCAGGAGAATCCCTAACCTGCACAGCTTCTACTTGCAATGGTCCAGGTCCTACCCTAATGGCAAGACTCAAAGGGCAACCACCATAGGCCACAGACACCCAGGCTGTGAGCATTTCACGGACTAATGTGGTTTGATCATGTGCTAGGCTTTAGTTTGTACATGACTGGCAAGTCTTGGCTTGAATAAAATTTTCTAATAAAAGCAGCAAATATCTATAGATTTAGTGTTCAGCTTCCATTTTGCTCAGCTATTTTGTTTTTATAGATTTTTGTTAATTTTGGTTCTACATAATGATGGGGTACAGTGTGATAATACATATATTCAACATGTAAAGATTAAATCTAGGTTTTCCCTCTCTTGGAAGCCCCTCTCCATGCTGCTCTGGCTGGAGGTCTTTGACTCTAATAAATCTTTTTAAATCTCTCTGCTCGTCTGTTTGGAAATTATTCTTCCAAGTGAGTCAAAGAACCAAGGTATTAAAATGTTCTCCACCACCATTTTCCCATAACATTTTGGTGCCATGACTCAGATTGCAACTCCAATGTGACATGGATCCCATTCAAGTTTGACGCCAGCCAGCGTCGGATCATCGCACCGGTCTGGTGAGCATGCAGACCGCTGTCACTTTTTTCAGAGAGTCTTGCTCTCCTTCATAGTAATTCTCTCATAGTTTCAAAAACACCGGGTCCCTGTCAGCCAGGTGAAAGTGATCAGTGCGGCTGCCAGTCTTAAGACCCAGGGGCGAGGCTTGCTGATGAAGGCCAGGTCAATCCCTGGAGCGGAGACTCTATCCTAAGTCCTCTTCTCTTCGCTGTGGATTGGCCCTTCATGTGGGACTGGAAGAAGGCCTTGAGACAACTGATGGATTCTGGCTGGGGCTACACCCCGGTGTTTCCAGAAGATCTCTTGACCCGGGCACCAGACCCTGATGGCCACAATGGTGTGGGGTGGGGAAACGCATTTTCTTGCAGGGAGCAAGTCCCCCGCCCTTTTGGCATCCTCACGAGTGTAAAGCCAGAGGCTCCACTCTTCAGGCTTCTCGTCTCAGCTCTGGGAATGTTCACTGGTCCCACTCAGCTTCCTTTTGCGGGGATCCCGACATGCGGGACTGGGTGTTTGGCTAGTTAGGCTGTTGCCAAAAACGGCATTCTGTTCTTCCTTCCTCGGAGATTACTTTGTCGATGAGACTGGACACAGCCTGGAGCAAGGCCGTGGGCTCTGGGCTCCGTGCCTCAATGAGTTTTTCCTTTACCCCAGATCTCGACAAAATCTCTGTCTCTGTTCCTCTAAATGTTTTCTGTATCTCATCAGGTGTCTTCAGTTCCTACAAACACGATTTCCTGGTCCCATTAGGGAGTATTTGCTAGACACTTTGTTCATCGGGTCTGTTAAAGTTTAGTTATCCTGTTTGCAGACAGGTGGCTTTTTGATCTAAACTCCCATTAAGTCCCCACGTGGCCCAAACTTGTATAGATAAGTCTTAGCATGTCTCTGGTATCCTCTATCTTCCTTCTTAAGTCTCCTCTTTTGGGTCACTTCTGTCTGGCCCTTCCTATGTAGTATATACCTCAGAGGAGGTTTACTGGGGAGAATCTTATTCCCCCACTCTGCTTCTTTGTGACTTCACTTGCCTAGTCACCAATCCAGGTAGTAACCAGGACTGTCTCTCTTTCACCAAACTCTAGCTTAAAAACACCATTGCTAAGGCTCTCTCCATGAAGGCTCATTGTCGAAATCAGGCCTATTAGATGAGACTCAAGGTTAAGAAGTGTAGAACAACGACTTTTCCTTCTGTAGAGGAACAAAGCGGCAGTGTATGTTTGACAAGGCAGAGGCCCAGTCTAGCACATCACTGGTAAAGGGAACTGATCACTCCATGCATGTGCTATTTTTGACAAATATATGCCTTACGCTGCCGGCGAGCAAGGCCAAGCGAGAATGAGTGACACATGCTAATCCCACCCTCACCTTCCTCCCTTCCCTGT